GGCCTTGCATGCAATAATTATTCTATACTAAACGGAAGTGAGGGTCCGTAGCCCAGCGAGAAAAATGCTGACTCGTTACGACGAAGGACACTAAAGGACACACTGCATGAGGTGATGTGAAATGGGGTTGAACGCCGTGTCTAAGATTATTGCACTTACATGTGTGTGCGTGCGTGCGTGCATGCGTATGTGTGCAACTGTTTGTACTTTTCCGGACTGATGCCGATTTATAGTGCTAGCCCACTAGATACTATTCCGCAGTTTAACATGAATACCCCACTGAGACACTGTATACTGACTCCGAGCCGACCAGTCCTTGTTTTAGCCCCTAAATGCCGAGCGCCAGACAGGGTAACAATAAGAACCATCTTTTAACGTCTTTTCACGTTTGACAGCCGGGGATCGAACTCCGGACCTTCCGCTCTCCGGGCGGAGGCGGTCGACACACTGTATGAAGTCCATTTGTCCAATGTCGTGTGAATGCTGGAATATCACTAAACCAGGGGAAACTCACTCAGATTTAGCTTCAGCATAGCTATCTTTAGAAACCTCTTTATACTTTATACTCGTTTCAGTGATGATAGACATCTTTGCATAATCGTGCATATAAGATATCCGCCAGTGAAAGGGGTAGATGCTTGCAGTATAAGCCATATCACGGGATATAATTCTGTTTGTGCATGATCACACACACCTACAGTCGCGAGACAGGTCATCAAAGTTAAACGGGCATGTCCATGTTGAGCGAGTTATGTTGCGTTATGCCGCATGAGCATTATGGACTGACAGGATCGGGTGGTCAGGCTCGCTGACTTTCTTGATGCATGTCATCGATCCCAATTGCGTGGATTGATGCTCATGATATCAATCACTGGATTGTCAGGTCCAGACTCGATTATTTACAGACCGCTGTCCCATAGCTGGAATATTGCTGAGTGCAGCCTTAAACCTCAAACCAACCAACCAACTCAAGTCAACGTCAACAGATATTTCCCAAATCTGTTTTTAATCAATGTCTTTATGTGATTTGTGCACTTTGCGAAGTAAGACCCACTTTATTACAATATAGATCTTGATTATCACCGCTATTTTGTTTGAAGCATATGCAAGTGATATGAGAGGTGGAATCTGATTGGTCAATAGGGGGGGACATAGAAGGGACATAGCTCGTAATAGCCACTGTTAGCCCAGAAATTCCTTGTTCGGCAAGGGTGGAAACTGGACCTTTAGTCAGTGAACTTACTTGCCTCGGGAAGATGGTACCATGGTGATAAGTCATACTTCACAAAGAATGAAAACACTGTGTCAATCCGAATGATTGGTACATAAATCACATTGCTATGTTACTCATTCTCGTCATCTGCATTCCTCTATATATACTCACTGGATCCAAGAAACAACAAAAAGCTAAAAGATTCTTGAAATGTTCAATTTATTGCACATAGTAACTTGAAATGAACTTTTACCTTAAGTACTGTAACACTGTCATAGTGATGAACAATCAGTTTGCAATGAAGTAACCCAAGATCTCGATGAATTTTGATGTCATAAATGTTATGTACATGTTTTGATATAATAAAAATAGTACTTGTCATCTACACTGAAGGACTGTATATAATGGGATGGAATACGAGCTCACAAAAACTTGTATTCACAATTAATGGATCATTGTGAATAGTGAAGTCCGTTATGTTGGCAGTGGGAGATCCAACCTGCTATACCTATACCTTGGAACAAAATGTAGATACAGAGACCTAAAGTGTAAGTCCAAATCCAGAATTCTAAATAAGTCATGTTAAGCTACTGGAGTTGTTGTGGTAAGATCTTTTGAGGTAAAGTACCTAAGTCCTGCTCCACAAAGTGATCTTAGCGCTACAATTGTCGTACAACTATGTTAAAGTATGGGAGCTATGATCGTCTTAGCGCCAAGATCACTTTGGTAACCTGAACCAAGACCACTGCTCTGATTGTGTCTAAGCACTGGCTTTTAATACCAAATTAATAGGTTTTTACTTAAAAATGTTACTTATAATGTTCAAATGTATAATGTAATTAAAGCATAGTTTGCATCAACTAAGACGAATAATAAACATTTCATACATAAAGAAAACATATGTATAAAAAATAAATACATGTAACCCAATCATACACTGTAAATGGTATGAAGTTAGCTGATCAAGGTCTTATAGTATTCACTTCAGCATGAACCACACTCTTTCTTGAATAAAAAAACTGAAAAAAGCAGTACTTTCTCACAGTAAACCAGTACATCAAATAATAATTCTTTCAGGTGGGTTGGTCATTATTGATCCGTATGATGTTCATACAGACCATGCCGACTTTCATAAATGTGTTTTCTTGAATTCCAAGCATTTTGTAGGGACTGACAATGGATTTGTATTACTCTTCACTCCTCAACATTTGCTAAGGAACAAAATTGTCCTCTTTAGTCAAAGGTGTGGTCCTTAGCAAATGTTGAGTGGTATGATTGCTTTCAAACCACCCCCAAATAATGTCATCACTAAACCTAAAACTAATCACTGAAACTTCTAAAATTTAAGCATTTTTCAAATCTTGTGTGTTTTCATGGAGAAGATATATGGACCTGTTGGCAGTGAAATGCTACAAGGGACACGCATGACATACATGATATTCCCGAGACAACCTGATACACTCAGTAGTATATTTACAAATAATAACATTGGCTGTTGAATAGTGTCAGCAACAGCTGTTGTGACATAGACCCATGATCATGTAAAACCTAGATTGTTGTGCACTCGTTAAATAATACATTAGTTAATGATCTACATTTAGTGTACCCTCGTCATAGCCTTGTTTCAGATATGTGACAGCATCTAACACATGATGGTAATTAAAACTCATAAATACAAACAATACCTACCATATCATGCCAAAATACTTCAGTTCCGAAAACAATACCACATTAATGACAAACTACGCCTGATTCATGAGCTTTGATACACATCCCACTGCATTCAACAAGATACCATCTCAGGATGGCAACACAGCGCAAGATATACGCAGGGTTTTTTCATTTATCGGTTTACTGATCCACAGAGCCAAATATTTCACAAACTACTTGTATCAATGACCACAACTCGCAACCGTCAATCTTTCATGTATTCTGGATTTTACTGGATACTTTTAAGAGATCGTTTTCTTAAAATCATACAATTTCTATCATACAAAAGGCTTCAGAAGTTTCTAACAAAATTCCTAAGACATTAGTGAGTAAGAAAGTGGGGTTCATGACGAAAGCCCTAAGTGACAAAGGTCATTTGTTGAACCTACAAGCCTACACGCCTACAGCCCACAAGACCAGGTTCATCAGGGATTCAAACCCAAGATCAGCAACTATTGACTCATCCCTCCACACCTTATCTTAGCACATCTTCCCCACCACCTCATCCCTCCACACCTTATCTTAGCATACCTTCCCCACCACGTCATCCCTCCACACCTCATCTTAGCATACCTTCCCCACCACGTCATCCCTCCACACCTTATCTTAGCATACTTCCCCACCTCATCCCTCCACACCTTATCTTAGCATACCTTCCCAACCTCATCCCTCCACACCTTATCTTAGCATACCTTCACCACCTCATCCCTCCACACCTTATCTTAGCATACCTTCCCCACCTCATCCCTCCACACCTTATCTTAGCATACCTTCACCACCTCATCCCTCCACACCTTATCTTAGCATACCTTCCCCACCCCATCCCTCCACACCTTATCTTAGCATACCTTCCCCACCTCATCCCTCCACACCTTATCTTAGCATACCTTCCCCACCCCATCCCTCCACACCTTATCTTAGCATACCTTCACCACCTCATCCCTCCACACCTTATCTTGGCATATCTTCCCCACCTCATCCCTCCACACCTTATCTTAGCATACCTTCCCCACCCCATCCCTCCACACCTTATCTTAGCATACCTTCCCCACCTCATCCCTCCACACCTTATCTTAGCATACCTTCCCCACCTCATCCCTCCACACCTTATCTTAGCATACCTTCCCCACCTCATCCCTCCACACCTTATCTTAGCATACCTTCCCAACCACCTCATCCCTCCACACCTTATCTTAGCATACCTTCCCCACCTCATCCCTCCACACCTTATCTTAGCATACCTTCCCCACCTCATTCCTCCACACCTTATCTTAGCATACCTTCCCCACCCCATCCCTCCACACCTTATCTTAGCATACCTTCCCCACCTCATTCCTCCACACCTTATCTTAGCATACCTTCCCCACCTCATTCCTCCACACCTTATCTTAGCATACCTTCCCCACCCCATCCCTCCACACCTTATCTTAGCATACCTTCCCCACCTCATTCCTCCACACCTTATCTTAGCATACCTTCCCAACCACCTCATCCCTCCACACCTTATCTTAGCATACCTTCCCCACCTCACCCCTCCACACCTTATCTTAGCATACCTCACCACCTCACCCCTCCACACCTTATCTTAGCATACCTTCCCCACCTCATCCCTCCACACCTTATCTTAGCATACCTTCCCAACCACCTCATCCCTCCACACCTTATCTTAGCATACCTTCCCCACCTCACCCCTCCACACCTTATCTTAGCATACCTCACCACCTCATCCCTCCACACCTTATCTTAGCATATCTTAGCATACCTTCACCACCTCATCCCTCCACACCTTATCTTAGCATACTTCCACGCCTCATCCCTCCACACCTTATCTTAGCATACCTTCCCCACCTCATCCCTCCACACCTAATCTTAGCATATCTTAGCATACCTTCACCACCTCATCCCTCCACACCTTATCTTAGCATACCTTCCCCACCTCATCCCTCCACACCTTATCTTAGCATACCTTCCCCACCTCATCCCTCCACACCTTTTCTTAGCATTCCTTCCCCACCTCATCTCTCCACACCTTATCTTAGCATACCTTCACCACCTCATCCCTCCACACCTTTTCTTAGCATACCTTCCCCACCTCATCCCCGACCTGTACACACACACACACAGCACCGAAAATGTCTCCGTCTGGAACAATGACATTATGCAGGAAAGCTAAATAGTCACATCAAGATAAATGCATAGGAATAGCCTTGAGTAGATTATTGTTGCTTGTTCACAATGAGTCCCAAATACAAGTGACCACATAAATGCAACTGCTGTGGTCAATTATTCTGAAATATGAATGCAATACTCTAAAATGCAATGGAGTAGACATTAGTCATTTTTCAGGCATCTTTCATCAAGAACAATCCAAGACAACTATTGATCTAGCTGGCTCCAGTTGCTCATGGTCACATAGGAATGGTTGCTGGAACTATTGTACAGTCTGTCCAGGACAAAACTGTCTTCATCGGTGCCCACAGACCTCATATACGGCACTGTACACATGGTATGGAAACAACAAATTTGTAGAAAAACACATTCACATGGCCTTAATGCAGTTGCATAATTTTGCATAATGCTTAAAAGTCAAGCAAAGTAAAAAGTAGGTCAATGTTTGTGAAAGGAAATGACCATGTTAAACTGACCAACATTAACTCCTTGCTGCTTGAGGAGAAATATATGTAACATTAGTTGGCATGTTACCCCTGTAAGTCATTATTCCGCAGCCTTAATGTAATATTCATGTTGTAACGCTGCAGTCTAGACAAATCTGAGTCACTTGGATACAAATCACTGGTCAACATAAACAACTGCCAGCATATCTTTTTTATATTTCACTTTCCTTCACATGCATGATACAAATAATGTTCTAAATCATCAATGGACATGCAAATTGTAGACACAGTTAGTTCCTGTTCCGACAAAAACGGCACCATGGACCATCTTCAAGTATTGTTTGTAACTAGAATTTCAGCAATATACAATTCTGTACAACCGTCTTTACAAAATGTACACATCTATACATGTATGTACACAAATGGAAATTTCAATGTCTGCGAGGCCGTTTCCCAGATCCTTCTGTTACTGAACCCTTCCTCTTCATTGGCATGGAATCTGGAAGACTAACATCCCAGCACTTGTTACAGTATTGAATGGTAACATCGCAACAAGATAATTCACATGTTTGTTAATAATAATTAAACACAGACACATAACAAATTCAGTGGAGTAAACTGGTACTGGAGCAGACTGGTACTGGTACTCATCTTGGTAAACAACAACATCAACAAAATGTGTAAAATGTAAAAGAAAGGATTGTTCCATTTTGGGGGATACAGTTAAATCTTGCAATTTCTAATCTTGTCCACATACTTTCATGAATTTTGAACATCACATTTCAACTCAGTGATGTTCAGAAAGTACACCCCAGTTAAGCCTTCTCAACTCAAATATCTCAAATTATCGTTTAAAAGGATGGTCCTCACAGAAACTTTCTTGTTATTTATTTGTTTGGCTAAATTAACGTCCGCACAATTCAGCAAAATGACGACGGGTTGTAAATACACAAGCCTGGACCAGACTTTCCAGGACCTGAGGTTGCAAAATTCTGTCGGGTTTCAATGACATGCTTTCAACCAAGTCAGCGAGTCTGACCACCCAATCCATTTGGTCGCCTCTTACGACCAGCAGTCTATCTATGCCAGGGACCTCTTCTAACCCGGAATCCCCACAGGGATCTTCTTGTTTCAGTCTACAGATAGTCAATGCATACAGTGAGTGAGTGAGTTGGGTTTAATGTCGCTTTTAACAGTATTCCAGTTATATCGCGGCGTGTCAGCTTAATGTGGGAGGAAAGCCCGAAGTGATGAAGGTCTCAGACGTTTACAACTTCGGTGAAACCCACGAGCACGGGTATGGTGCTGACAAACCTAGAAACATAATCAGGGCGAACCGGGATTCGAACTCACAATCATAGGTTTCTGGCGTGCCGAAGGGACAGCGAATCACGGCGCCTTAGACAACTGGGCCACCCGTGCCCCCCAATGCATACAGAGGTTTCCAGTGTGTAACAAGGTTTCTCTGTACCATTACATCAGAATCAGAAACCAAAATTACTCCTGTACTAAATAATGCAAAATACCATGACTGGTGCATCCCCATGGGGCATGTAATCAGTAAAGACGACCAGACAGAGTTGGTCCATACCTTGCTCTTAATGCTGTTATTTCCGGTGGACTATAGTCATCAGGGTTGGGGGATGGGTCCTCCGTCAGTTGTGCTGCGATAAACTCTGGCTTCAGACAATGGATGTGGGATTTGATGAGATTTTCCAGATCATCCTAGTCAACAACAAAAAATGTTAAAAAAATGTTAAATAATCTGAACACAAAACAAAATGTCAAAAAATCTTAACACAAAAAAAGGTAAAAACAGGTAATCCATGATGAAAATGGGATTCATAACATAAAAGCCTGAATATCACCTTACACTGAATCCCCAAAAATATATAGCAATAAGCACTTTACACTTGACATGAAACATATTTATCTCAAACAAAGAAAAAGGATGACTAACAAATACTCTCAAATGAGATGTGTGACATTTAGGCTCCTCAACTGTCCATGCCATACAAGAGATTTGTTCAAAAATATGTCCATGCAAATAGTAAGATAAGAAAGAGGTTAGTAACCCTGTACAATGTTGCGTGGTATGTATGTGGGACTCACCTGAGATAGTTTGACTTTGTTAAGTTCAAGGAATGCATGTGTGGCAGTAACATCACTGCTGAATGGTGGTCTGCGACAGACAGGAAATGCAAGTCAGGCATAAATCTACACAAATCACAAACATCCACTGGCACTATGCTATGTTTATTCATTACAGACATCAGCAAGTGAGTGTCCTGAATGAATGTTCTCAGAGCTTCACCATATATCTATGTGTAAGTCACTGATAAAGTGTGGTCATCAGTCATGTAAACCATCATCACTGGGTCAATTGGCAAGTTTGATTTAAGTTATTGAAATACCATTTTGGGGGAACTTTTAACTGAAATCTAGCAGTTAATGCACTTAAACAATTATGATGTTTATTAAATTATAAAGAAATTATCAATTATATCAACCATAACAATGCAAGCTGGGGACAAGTGATACTTGTACAACTATTTGCCCCCCCCCCCCCCCCCCCTGTCAAAAAAAGTTAACTACGGCCTTGATATCACTTGAAAAATCACTTCAATCTGTTGATTCGAGAAGTAGAATCAATGAGCTTGAAACCAACATTCAGAATCAACATATTCTAGTGATTTCTCCATCACAGAGACAATGGGTCTGTTCCAGCAAGCCACTAGACCTGGACTAAAGAAGCTGCAACAGACTTTTGAGCTTCGTCCCTCTTTTATGATACTAGTCCTGTGGAGCATGCAACCCAAGCTGCCTGTTAGTTGCTAGAAGGTAAACAGTCAAATTACCTCTCATCCTACCGGGTACCCATTTACTGCTGGGTGAACATTGGCTTATTTCGAACAAAGTCACTTGCCCAAGGAGACACCATATGTGCTACATGACCTTCAGTGTGGGGCAGGACCGAAGCCCTAGAAACTCACGAGCCAAGCTGCCCGACATGGTCATCCATCCAAGGACCACTTTTCTTAGCTTCGCCTGATTTAAGACCTGTGCGCTGTTCACAGGACAACATGCAGTTGTCCAGTCCTTACATAGCATAGCAACCATGCACAAGAACCATGATGACTTGATCCTTGAGTAGTGCTTTACTTACTTGAGAGGCAACACCTGCGCCCCACCGGCCTGCAACAACCGGGAGAAGTTACTCTCTCTGTTCTTGTCTGTACACAGAATAACCTGCCACCCTTCAAAGGCACCACGGCAGTTGGGATCAACCTGGGAATCCGGAGGAAAATAATTAGTATTCGGTTCATACCTTTCATCAAAAAAGAGTAAAGATAAAGGTACTAGCATGTGATGAAGGTACTAGCATGTGATGAAGGTACTAGCATGTGATGAAGGTACTAGCATGTGATGAAGGTACTAGCATGTGATAAATGTACTAGCATGTGATGAAGGTACTAGCATGTGATAAAGGTACTAGCATGTGATGAAGGTACTTGCATGTGATGAAGGTACTAGCATGTGATGAAGGTACTAGCATGTGATGAAGGTACTAGCATGTGATAAAGGTACTAGCATGTGATGAAGGTACTTGCATGTGATAAAGGTACTAGCATGTGATGAAGGTACTTGCATGTGATGAAGGTACTAGCATGTGATGTAGGTACTAGCATGTGATAAAGGTACTAGCATGTGATGAAGGTACTAGCATGTGATGAAGGTACTAGCATGTGATAAAGGTACTAGCTTGTGATGAAGGTACTAGCTTGTGATAAAGGTACTAGCATGTGATGTAGGTACTAGCATGTGATAAAGGTACTAGCATGTGATGAAGGTACTAGCTTGTGATGAAGGTACTAGCATGTGATAAAGGTACTAGCATGTGATGAAGGTACTAGCATGTGATGAAGGTACTAGCTTGTGATGAAGGTACTAGCTTGTGATAAAGGTACTAGCATGTGATGTAGGTACTAGCATGTGATAAAGGTACTAGCATGTGATGAAGGTACTAGCATGTGATAAAGGTACTAGCATGTGATGAAGGTACTAGCATGTGATGAAGGTACTAGCTTGTGATGAAGGTACTAGCATGTGATGAAGGAACTTGCATGTGATAAAGGTACTAGCATGTGATGAAGGTATTAGCATGTGATGAAGGTACTAGCATGTGATAAAGGTACTAGCATGTGATGAAGGTACTAGCATGTGATAAAGGTACTAGCATGTGATGAAGGTACTAGCATGTGATAAAGGTACTAGCATGTGATGAAGGTACTAGCATGTGATGTAGGTACTAGCATGTGATGAAGGTACTTGCATGTGATAAAGGTACTAGCATGTGATGAAGGTACTAGCATGTGATAAAGGTACTAGCATGTGATGAAGGTACTAGCATGTGATGAAAGTACTAGCTTGTGATGAAGGTACTAGCATGTGATGTAGGTCCTAGCATGTGATGAAGGTACCAGCATGTGATGAAGGTACTAGCATGTGATGAAAGTACTAGCTTGTGATGAAGGTACTAGCATGTGATGTAGGTCCTAGCATGTGATGAAGGTACTAGCATGTGATGAAGGTTCTTGCATGTGATGAAGGTACTAGCATGTGATGAAGGTACTAGCATGTGATGAAGGTACTAGCATGTGATAAAGGTACTAGCATGTGATGAAGGTACTAGCATGTGATAAAGGTACTAGCATGTGATGAAGGTACTTGCATGTGATGAAGGTACTAGCATGTGATGAAGGTACTAGCATGTGATGAAGGTACTAGCATGTGATAAAGGTACTAGCATGTGATGAAGGTACTTGCATGTGATAAAGGTACTAGCATGTGATGAAGGTACTTGCATGTGATGAAGGTACTAGCATGTGATGTAGGTACTAGCATGTGATAAAGGTACTAGCATGTGATGAAGGTACTAGCATGTGATGAAGGTACTAGCATGTGATAAAGGTACTAGCTTGTGATGAAGGTACTAGCTTGTGATAAAGGTACTAGCATGTGATGTAGGTACTAGCATGTGATAAAGGTACTAGCATGTGATGAAGGTACTAGCTTGTGATGAAGGTACTAGCATGTGATAAAGGTACTAGCATGTGATGAAGGTACTAGCATGTGATAAAGGTACTAGCATGTGATGAAGGTACTAGCATGTGATGAAGGTACTAGCATGTGATAAAGGTACTAGCTTGTGATGAAGGTACTAGCATGTGATGAAGGAACTTGCATGTGATAAAGGTACTAGCATGTGATGAAGGTATTAGCATGTGATGAAGGTACTAGCATGTGATAAAGGTACTAGCATGTGATGAAGGTACTAGCATGTGATAAAGGTACTAGCATGTGATGAAGGTACTAGCATGTGATAAAGGTACTAGCATGTGATGAAGGTACTAGCATGTGATGTAGGTACTAGCATGTGATGAAGGTACTTGCATGTGATAAAGGTACTAGCATGTGATGAAGGTACTAGCATGTGATAAAGGTACTAGCATGTGATGAAGGTACTAGCATGTGATAAAGGTACTAGCATGTGATGAAGGTACTAGCATGTGATGAAGGTACTTGCATGTGATGAAGGTACTAGCATGTGATGAAGGTACTAGCATGTGATAAAGGTACTAGCATGTGATGAAGGTACTAGCATGTGATGAAGGTAGTAGCATGTGATGAAGGTTCTTGCACCTGAATGAAATGTCGCATTGACAGGATGAGGAAGTTGGAGTCCACAAGCGGACTCTGTCTTCAGTCATACAACAGCTTCAAAAATGCCACTTAAGGTATTCCTAATGTATGTTCATTGAAACAAAAATGGACAGAGTTAGTGAATGAGTAATTATTGCTGAACTCCGCATCAGCAATCTTGCAGCTATTCACGGTGAGGGACAAAAGGAACTTCCACCTTTGATCAGTGTGACTGATACAAGGCCACAGCTTGAGATACCACCAGAGGAAGTAGAGGTATCAGATCAAGCATCAATATGGAGACCAGCTCAGTGCATTTCAAAGCAGCTGCCACCTAGGAATGCCCCACAAGTGGACATAGAATAATGGGTGTACCTTCTTCATTTCTTTGACCTTCTGCCTCCACCTGTAAGCTGCGGCCGCTAGTTTGCTGCACTGGGCGTTCATGTTGAGCATGATGTTACGAGTTGCATCACTGCCCCACTCGTGACACTCCTCCTGCAGGCACATGAATATATCATATCATGTTTAGTATGATCATGTTCCAGCTAAAATCACACTTAAAGACATCACATCATAATGTTTAAAGAAGCACTGCACTGTCTCAAGATACATCTACATGAAATACTGAGTCAATTAAAAAGTAATTGAGAGTTGTTTACTCTGAAGTAAAAATTATTACAGCTACGAAACAGCAGTCTGTACGTTACTGAATCTGGACCAGACAAACCAGTGGTTGACAGCAAGAGCAACTATTGATGCCGTTAGAGAAAATACACAATCAACCAGGAAACACTCGATCCTCATCAGTGGCTCTTATGATAAACATGTGAAACTGAGGACTTTCTTGGACCGGAATTCCCAAAGTGATATACTGAATGAGTACTTTGTGTATTATTAATGCTGGTAGTGTTTCTTGGTGGCGAAGACAATCATATCAGCATCTACATCAATTCTGAAGGTGTCACTAGATAGTGTACACGTAATCACATAGTAGTCTTATTCCTTGTCTTCTTATGAATTGATGCGATCAATTTATGTTTGTTTGTTTGTTTTTTAACGCCACACTCAGCAACATTCCAGCTATATGACGGCGGTCTGTGTAAATAATCAAGTCTGGACCAGACAATCCAATGATTGACTTCATGAGCATCGATTCATGCAATTGGGACACGATGACATGCATCAACCAAGTCAACGAGCCTGACAACCCGATCACTTTAGTCGCCTCTTACGACAAGCATAGTCACCATTTACAGCAAGCATGGGTTGCTGAAGACCTATTCTACCCTGGATCTTCACAGGTCCGATCTATTTATGAATTTAATTTACACATACATATGGATTGATTATTTACACACATTTAGCCACTAAAAACATAATTCTATTGCTTCATTGATAAGTGTTAGTACCTTGACGAAGTGTCCCTCTCTTCGACATGCCTCAAAGTAAGACTTATGTAGAACCCACTTCCCTGCAGCCACACAAGCCAGGAACTTCTCATTCCGTGCAGGGGTCTCTGAAACAGCACACTCCAGTATACCATACATGTAACAAGTCCCAACAAAAACATAGACGCCATGTGTCAGTGGGGATGTTGTAAATTTGTTAGCGGTAGTTGTCAGTAGTAGCAGGTGATTGAACTACAGGTAAAACATATCAAGTGCTCTCATGGCCAGATTTGAACCACGGTTGATGGCAGCAAGTGGAGCTTTCTAAAATGGATTTGAAGTCTATGTACAATTGGTAATTTAGAGTTATCACCCTTGTATATATGAATATGACGCACCTTCTACTATGTGTGTACAAGATGTACGAAGGACTCACCTACTACTAGATGTGTACAAGACGTGTGACGGACTCACCTACTACTAGATGTACAAGACGTGTGACGGACTCACCTACTACTAGATGTGTACAAGATGTACGACGGACTCACCTACTACTAGATGTGTACAAGACGTGCGACGGACTCACCTACTACCGTATATGACCGCGTATAAGCCGAATTTTGAGGACCAGAAAAAAGATTCTGTAGAAAGGGGTCGGCTTATCCACGGGATACACTTTCATGAAAGGTATTTTTCAGATCGTGATCTGTCAGAAACATCGCCTGAATGACGGTCCGATAGATCACAACTTCCCGAAAGTTTGGAAGTTGCCACGACTAGAGCCATTATTGTTATAAATTATCAATAAAGTTATTATTATACACCAATGTTGTCATTATTATAAAAATGTTATGCATGTTACTACTTCCGATAATAAGTTTTCAATTGAATGTTCAAAGTTTATCGTTCTGCGTAAACTCCACAATCTTTACATGTAACAATATATGTAATTCACAGCTATAATATATAATCCCCAGATGAAATCGCTAATAGCTATTACGTACGTTTTGCAAAGTTCATAAATTGATAGTGAACAAGTGTCTACCTTTATTGAAAGAGGCAAATAAACAACTGTATCGGCGAGTTATTCCGTTCGCCATTTGCAAAAACATGTGATCAGCTGTTTCCTGTGACGTCACAAACGGTGATCACTGTGATTGCTTCCTGTTGTTTAAAAAGCAACACGGTACACAAGGAAATGAGCATTGATAATAACGGGCCGATTGGTATTGTCATGTTGTTTACACAAACATTTTCAAGTTGTGGGTGCTTAGCGATCGTGTTGGGAGTAGGGGCTTAATTCCTTTGTTTTCGAGAGATTAGTTTAATAAACTGGAGAAGCCTGTGAATAAGTGATGGTCATTCAATGTGTTCATAGTATGATAGTTTATTTAATTCAATTGGATAACATACAATAGTGGTGTAAAGGGGGTTATAAAAGTTGGTATATTTTTACCGACTGACATTCTCATCATGAGTTTGAAACGAATACGCCATGCTTACGATGCTGAATTCAAACTGCGAGTCTTCGCTCTAGCTGATATATTTTCTCACAGGTTCATAATTCTATATGCACCGATTCACAAAATGGCGCTTGTTGTTGATGGCAACATATAACGATCATTATGAGATTAAAAAAACCCACGAGAAACAGCTTCCCACATTATGAAAGTGGATGACTGGTTTGTTAAATCTTTATTAGAAATAACAATGACTTTTTCAATATAATTACAACGTTTTCCATCTTATATTTTTGAATATCTGCGTGTACCGGCACATGTCTTGCAGTTCGACTTCGCAGTGTTTTTTGCCTTTCAATTCCTGGTTCGGCTTATCTGCGGGTCATATCATTTTCTCTCGTATTTCAATGGTCAAGTTAGCACCTCGGCTTATCTACGGGGTCGGCTTATCCGTGGTCATATACGGTACTAGATGTGTACAAGAAGTGTGACGGACTCACCTACCACTAGATGTGTACAAGACGTGTGACGGACTCACCTACTACTAGATGTACAAGACGTGTGACGGACTCACCTACTACTAGATGTGTACAAGATGTGTGACGGACTCACCTACTACTAGATGTGTACAAGATGTACGACGGACTCATCTACTACTAGATGTGTACAAGATGTACGACGGACTCACCTACTACTAGATGTGTACAAGATGTACGACGGACTCATCTACTACTAGATGTGTACAAGATGTGCGACGGACTCACCTACTACTAGATGTGTACAAGATGTGCGACGGACTCACCTACTACTAGATGTGTACAAGATGTACGACGGACTCATCTACTACTAGATGTGAACAAGATGTACGACGGACTCACCTACTACTAGATGTGTACAAGACGTGTGACGGACTCACCTACTACTAGATGTGTACAAGACGTGTGACGGACTCACCTACTACTAGATTACAAGACGTGTGACGGACTCACCTACTACTAGATGTGTACAAGATGTACGACGGACTCACCTACTACTAGATGTGTACAAGACGTGTGACGGACTCACCTACTACTAGATGTGTACAAGATGTACGACGGACTCACCTACTACTAGATGTGTACAAGACGTGTGACGGACTCACCTACTACTAGATGTGTACAAGACGTGTGACGGACTCACCTACTACTAGATGTGTACAAGACGTGTGACGGACTCACCTACTACTAGATGTGTACAAGACGTGTGACGGACTCACCTACTACTAGATGTGTACAAGACGTGTGACGGACTCACCTACTACTAGATGTGTACAAGACGTGTGACGGACTCACCTACTACTAGATGTGTACAAGATGTGCGACGGACTCACCTACAACTAGATGTGTACAAGATGTATCGAAGTGTTGCGAGTCCAGCAGCTTCCCTCCCAGCTGCTCCACCAGTGCCCCGTAGTCCACCCGCTCCTGCAGCAGCAACACGCACGTACATCACACATCCCCGTTACACGGCTGCCAACTAACATGACCATAGTAATGTGAAAACAGCAGGGAGACTTTGCACTTTTTTGCTTAACAATAGCATAAAACTGTATCTAAATATCCCAAATCATCAAAAGGCACCAGTTCATCACTAGACTGAGCTGTATAGCAAGTTTCATCCAGAAACATTCAACGGTTTAGGGGTTCTGTTCCAGAAACAATCACTAACCAGATGTTTAGTATAAGTCCACCTTGTCGTCATGAAAACAAAACAAAACTTTTTAAATTAATATCCGAATATATCAAATGGCACCAAGTCACCACTAGACTAATCTGTATAGCAAGTTTCAACAAGAAATATTCAATGGTTTAGGAGTTCTTTAATTTTTTAAACTGGGGAGTTAAAAAATATAATCACTGAAAACAAGTGCTTGTTTTGTTCTTCTTAATTTGAAAAAAAGTATGTTATACCATTAATTACCTCAAACATGAAGTTATAATGAGAAACAAAGAGGAACCTGTTGACATCTATCATTGTTTACATCCATCCCTGTTCACTAACATCACCAATCATTGTTCACTAACATCACTGTTTACACCAGTCATTGTTCACTCACATCACTGTTTACACCAGTCATTGTTCACTCACATCACTGTTTACACCAGTCATTGTTCACTCACATCACTGTTTACACCAGTCATTGTTCACTCACATCACTGTTTACACCAGTCATTGTTCACTCACATCACTGTTTACAACAGTCATTGTTCACTCACATCACTGTTTACACCAATCATTGTTCACTAACATCACTGTTTACACCAATCATTGTTCACTCACATCATGCTGCATTCCCGACACCAGGATCACTGGGAGTTTCTGTTCTTTCTTCTTCTGTTCTTCCTCCAGGATTTCAATGGGCTGAGGGGACATCACTCTGCTGGTTCTACGTGGCTCAGGGAAAGCTGCAAAATACATCATAAAACCTTCAGCTGAAAACATGTTGGGAGATAAAGAAATGTACATGGTAAGAACAAAAATAATAACTATCCCTGACCAACTAGAAATCTCATTTTAGCCTTCCATACACTAATAAGAATCACTGTCTATTAAATGGGGCAATAATGCGAAATTTCTTATAAAACATACTACTGCAAACTCTTTGTACTGACTCACCAAGTGGTGGAGCTTCAGGTGTCGGCGTTCTCACAGTTTCCTGGCTCTTTCGTTTGGAGGATCTTGTCTACAATGGAAAACAGTAAAGATGCTTTAAAAACTTTATCATAATGAGTATGTCTGCCTCAAGGCTTATCTTCATATGTAAATAGTTACGCGGTTGAATCACAACATATAAAATTCAGTTTTCAATAACGACATGCAGCTTTCATCACTTCATCCATATCAAGATGAGAACTCAAACTTCTGGAAATTTATAAGTAAGAATTCACTTCAACTGTAAAACAGCGGTCACAGCACTCACAATGTCTGGTGAAATGAAATCTTGGTTACATTCGAGTGTCAATGTTGATGACGAATACATCCACACATGAATAATTCACCACTAATTTCAAACATTAGCAGGTGATTTCACCAATACATTCACTGTCCATTCTCACTTTCAGCCCTTTTCTCAACCATTGCCTATGTTTTACAAGCATGAGAGCCCAATATACGACATCCAGGCTGGACCTACCCGAGAGACGTTGTCCTCCTTGGCAGTCCCCGCTGGGTCCTCCAACTCCGAGAACTGGGCATTGGAGCTGGAGAGGTCAATCCCAGCCAGGTAGTCATCTGTGTTCTGACTCTGACTGCACTGACGATGCAGCTCATCAGCAAGCTTCTCCTGTTCCAGTCTACAACACACAATACAGCACAACCTGTGATACAGGAGTCAGTAGGTGGGTAGAAAGCACTATAGAACAATATCTCAGTCACACCACAGCCTACCAGTTTACTGTGGGAGGATAGCCATGACAACCATGGGTTTGTGCTGACACACCAAGTGTAGTAGTCACTTTGTTTGTTGTTGTTTAATGCCGCACTGAGCAATATTCCATTTATATGACATCAATAATTGAGCCAGTGATTGACAGCATGAGCATCTATCTACGCAATTGGGATATGATGACATACATCAACCAAGTCAGCGAGCCTGATCACCAGATCCCGTTAGTCACCACTTACAAGTGAATGAGTGAGTTAATATCTAACGTCACATCGGCAATATTTCAGCCATATCACCACTTACGAGAGACGTGTTGCTGAAGACCAATTCTAACCTTGATCTTCAGCAATGTTAAAATCGGACCCTAATTCGGTCATGTACATTGTGCCATGACAAATTAACCTCAGTTAGGTGATAAAAAAACAACAAATCATTCCATACTTTACTTTTGTCAGACAGTTAACTATTTCCACATTTCAGTTTGTTAATTCCAGCGTACCTTCCTGTTGGATCGTCCCACGTCACTTGAACACTCTGTGAAGCTTCAGGCATGCTGTTGCTGTCGGAACTCTTGCCTACACAACAAAATAGTAACATGTCAGAAGCAGAAGCTGATTTCCCAAGCATGTTTATTAATGCATTCAATCCAATCTAAGTTTTAGAAAATATTGAGGTCAAGTTTTTTATTCTTTATTTCACAAATGGTAACATTAATAAGCATGTCTTAAAATTTTAATGGCTGCTATTCAGGAACTAAGGATGGATGTATGGGTCGGTGGGTGAGAGAGAGAGAGGGAAGGAAGGATGGAGGGAGGGAGCGACAAGCTTTCACAGTAATATCACTGGGTGTCAGCTGCATGTGGGAAGAAAGCCCGAAGTGATGCAGGAGTTAGACATTTACCCATGACATGTCTGAATGGTGTTGACAAGCTAACAAGCATGAAGTCATGATCATAGGTTTCTGGCATTCCTAAGGCAAGCAACTGTACTCAGCAAATTGCAGTGCCTTAGATGACTGGGTCACCTGAGTCTTTCTGAAGGAAAGGTATGTGTCATTTACATATCAGGACTTACTTCCACTTCTGGTTCTTCTACTAACACCTTTCTTTTCATCTGAAACATCATCAGAACAGTTCTGACAACAGAGGCATATTTCACAATGACAGAGATAACAAAACTTCAAAAGTGATACTACAATCAACACACTTAAGTTTTCAAACTGTGGATTGAAAATGGAATGTGTTCTTCATCTTAGAGGATTCTGAGCAAATACTCTCCTTATAAAGATGTAATACCTTGATACGCCCATGGGCTCTGTCTTGATGAAGGCCGACTGCGTCCACTGTCCGAGGTGTTGCCGGATGTGTTGAACTGACCACTTCCTGTTCAGTGAGAGGGTGATGTGCATGAGTGTAAGGATCACACAGTGTTGCAGCCAGCAATATTCCAGCAACATTATCACTAACCATGGCCGCCACTAAATAATCAGGCCTGGGGCAGGGGGGCATCTTAAAACCAATCTTAGCACTATGATTGAAATAACTCATATACTGCATGTACTCAGATTATTCTAGCATCAAGATAGCTTTGAAAACCGCAGGGTAGACAAACCAATGGCTGATAGCCTGAGCACACTGGGTTACAGTAACTACCAATCAGCCAGGGAAAACATCGCTCAGTTCTCATTCTACACGGGGTATTTGGGATCCGGCCAGGAGTCATTGCTGGGGGAAAGCATGACACACTACATCTGTGTGCTCAGCTCATCTTTCAGGATGTGTATCAATAGCCTGGAATTGATATGAGTAATATTGCACTACAGTTCCTAAGCAGATTATTGCATCAGAAAATATACATAGTTACAGAAACATGAAATGTCTATGGGGTGTGATGACCAGATGAAGACAGCGCAGTATGTAGCAAACATGGCTTCTATGGTGAGAATAACAGATGTTAGTCTGGTTAAGATATTTATATTGAAACTGCATACTAGCCACATGCAACCACATTTCCTTAGTTGCTTGCATTAATTCATAATCAAGTGCTCTTTTTCAGTAGGGTTGTCATGGAAATCACATAAAACATTCAATGGAAACAGTTTCATCCAAACTCCCTGGGTGTCCAACAATAGTCAACACTCACCATCAAGTCGCTTGCTCTTTTTCCTTGGTTGTTTCTTAACCCTGCAAAAATACACAGTGTAATTATTCAAGACTACACATAATGCAGGAGTGAACCAGTAACAAGACAATAACACACTTTCAGTTGAAAGTCAAAACCTTATCAAAAACATTTACAGACTTTTAATCATAAATCTGTTGGTGATGACCTTTATCGAGACAATTTCAAGTAAATTGTGCAAACGACAATCTGGCCTCATTGTGAAAACATCAGACTCACTTCCCTGCCGAGTTCATGATGGCCTCCATCTGTTTCGACAGCTCTTCGCGGATCTCCAGCGTGCCTCCCACATCATGCTCCACGCTGGTCTACAAGACAGAAACCACCTCAAACTGAAGATCTTGCACACTAGTTATTAGTCTAGTCTAATTATTGGCTCTGTAAAAGCAAAATGACAGCAACCAAATGAAGCACAAATATAATCACTGACATAAACATTCCATGTGGAGTCCACATTGTGGACATGAGTGAGTGAGTATGGTTTTACGCCGCTTTTAGCAATATTCCAGCAATATCACGGCGGGGGACACCAGAAAAGGGCTTCACACAATGTACCCATGTCGGGAATCGAACCCGGGTCTCCAGCATGACGAGCAAACGCTTTAACCACTAGGCTACCTGACCGCCCCTTGTGGACATAATATATAATAGAAGTATTTATGCTAAGTGAGTGAGTTGGTCTTAACGACGCTTTGAACAGTATTCCAGTTATATCAGAATGGCACGGCATATCAGTTTAATATGGGAGGAAAGCCTGAAGTGATGCAGGTCTCAGATGTTTACCGCTTTGGTGAAACCCATGAGAATGGGTATGGTGCTGACAAACCTGGAAACATAACCAGGGCGAACCAGGCATGGAATCCCTGATCATAGGCTCCTAGAGTGCCAAGGGGTGTAACTCTACACAGCAAACTGCAGCTTCTTAGACAACTGGGCCACTGGTGCCCCCACAAGTATTTATGATAAAGTATACACTAAGTGATCACCACTACCTATTTCTTTCAATGCAGGAGTTGAGGAGAAACAAATGAGACAATAATAGTGAATGAGTTTCATGATGTTTTGATTCTTTCACATCACAGGTCTGGATGAAGGAACATATGTCACACAGTTTGATGAAACCTGTAAGCACAGACATGGTCCTTTAATCTATGGTCTAATATGGAATTTAGTCTGTCTGATTATACGCAGTACAGGTATTACCTTGACATTCATAATTAATTTTAAGGCTCCTTGCAAGCAAAATGAGGGTTGTGTAAAGTAATGAAATGATTTAGTGTACTGTTCATTTAGATAAATACTCTTGATGCGCTGTAGGTACGATGAATATTATTGTTCCTCCCTCCAGAGACAGTATATTTTCTTTCTGTGTCCAATCTCGACGTCTGTGCACCTCGTAAAACCCTGCATTGTGTGTGTGTGTGTGTGTGTGTGTGTGTGTGTGTGTGTGTGTGTGTGTGTGTGTGTGTGTGTGTGTGTGTGTGTGTGTGTGTGTGTGTGTGTGTGTGTGTGTGTGTGTGTGTGTGTGTGTGTGTGTGTGTGTGTGTGTGTGTGTGTGTGTGTGTGTGTGTGTGTGTGTGTGTGTGTCTGTGTGTTACTACCACTGAGGTCAGTATGGAGTTCAGAATGACAACAATCTCACACAAATTCGTACATTGGGCTCATCCTGTGCCAACTCTTCCTGCTGGTTCTCGAGTGACCGATCTCCTTCTCCATCTGGGTGTTCTTCTTCTTCGTTCAGTCTTTGTTCTTCTGTTCGTCGTTCTTCTTCCATTGTTCGTTCTTCCTTAAGTCTCAACTCTTCCTTTTTTCGTAATTCTTCCTGATGCTTCTTCTGTTCCTCAAGGCTCTCCTGCTCCTTCTTTTGTTGTTCTGATTGTTCACTGCCCCTCACACTGTTCCGAGCTGCCCTCCGCGAGGGGCGTCCTGGAGTCCGCCCACCAGACACGGCCTGCACATCGGTCACACATGATTGGAATAAAGGTACACAACAAGCTACAGTAGTTAATGATTGCAAAGACTTATATTCATTTTTTTTGTCCATATTGCAGCAATTAAAAGGTAGGGGATACAAAGGACAGGCTTCACATTGAGTCCCCATGAGAGTCCCCGTGAGAGTCTCCATGAGAGTCCACATGAGAGTCCCCATGAGAGTCCCCATGAGAGTCCCCATGAGAGTCCCCGTGAGGGTCCCCGTGAGGGTCCCCGTGTCCCCGTGAGAGTCCCCGTGAGGGTCCCCATGAGAGTCCCTGTGTCCCCATGAGAGTCCCCGTGAGAGTCTCCATGAGAGTCCCCATGAGGGTCCCCATGAGGGTCCCAATGAGAGTCCCCATGAGGGTCCCCATGAGGGTCCCCATGAGAGTCCCCATGAGAGTCCCCATGAGGGTCCCCATGAGAGTCCCCATGAGGGTCCCCATGAGGGTCCCCATGAGGGTCCCCATGAGAGTCCCCATGAGGGTCCCCATGAGGGTCCCCATGAGAGTCCCCATGAGGGTCCCCATGAGAGTCCCCATGAGGGTCCCCATGAGAGTCCCCATGAGGGTCCCCATGAGAGTCCCCATGAGGGTCCCCATAAGGGTCCCCATGAGAGTCCCCATGAGGGTCCCCATGAGAGTCCCCATGAGAGTCCCCATGAGGGTCCCCATGAGGGTCCCCATGAGAGTCCCCATGAGGGTCCCCATGAGGGTCCCCATGAGAGTTCCCGTGAGAGTCTCCATAAGAGTCCCCATGAGAGTCCCCGTGACAGTCTCCATGAGAGTCCCCATGAGGGTCCCCATGAGGGTCCCCATGAGAGTCCCCATGAGAGTCCCCATGAGGGTCCCCATGAGGGTCCCCATGAGAGTCCCCATGAGAGTCCCCATGAGGGTCCCCATGAGGGTCCCCATGAGAGTCCCCATGAGGGTCCCCATGAGAGTCCCCATGAGGGTCCCCATAAGGGTCCCCATGAGAGTCCCCATGAGAGTCCCCATGAGAGTCCCCATGAGGGTCCCCATGAGGGTCCCCATGAGAGTCCCCATGAGGGTCCCCATAAGGGTCCCCATGAGAGTCCCCATGAGGGTCCCCATGAGAGTTCCCGTGAGAGTCTCCATAAGAGTCCCCATGAGAGTCCCCGTGAGAGTCTCCATGAGAGTCCACATGAGAGTCCCCATGAGAGTCCCCATGAGAGTCCCCATGAGAGTCCCCGTGAGGGTCCCCGTGAGGGTCCCCGTGTCCCCGTGAGAGTCCCCGTGAGGGTCCCCATGAGAGTCCCTGTGTCCCCGTGAGGGTCCCCATGAGAGTCCCCATGAGGGTCACCATGAGAGTCTCCATGAGGGTCCCAATGAGGGTCCCCATGAGAGTCTCCATGAGAGTCCCCATGAGAGTCCCCATGAGGGTCCCCATGAGGGTCCCCATGAGGGTCCCCGTGTCCCCATGAGAGTCCCCATGAGGGGACTCAATGAAGTAACACTATATAATGATTCATGTTTTAACAGAGATCTGCTGTATGCAGATTAACCATTCATAACGGACTTCACTGTGCTATAGCAGAACTCACCAAGCTAAGATTTGGGTTGTAATTATGGGGAAACTGTCCTTCATCAACTCTTTTTGTCTGTTCCTTACACTGAAACATAGCAAAGGTGTGAACATAAACAACATGATGGTCAGGAACCTGCACACAAAGATGTCTGTGCCAAGCATGTGGTCAACTCATGGACATGAGGAACTGTAAAGTGACCCACTACGTACGCTACTCCCCCACATTGTAGCTGGTGACAAAACTTACTGCAAACAGCCAGTGAGGGGAGACAATAAAGATGCCTTGATCTCTTGCCATGCGGAACTCTTTGCTGGTGTCATTGGGTCTTCCCTGCAAGAAAGTCACAACAATATGATTATCCCCAAGCATAATCATCAAAATATCTTGATGCACATTTAGTATACATAGGATCTACAAACTGGCAGTACCCTGTACAAACAGGTCTGTTAAAGAGGCCCAATGGGTCTGTATCGCTCACCTGGATATTTACGCTCCATTTCTCTAATTTGAATCTCCACCATTGGAGAATGCTTCCAAACAAATATGGTTGATATCTATCTCTTAGTTCCAGAGAAGAAGTCGTTTACAGCAATAACACAAAATTACCCCTATTTTGCCCCGCCACTCAGCCCCTTGACCATTTGTACAATTTTGAATCCTCACCACCGGAGAAAGCTTCCAACCAAATATGGTTGATATCTATCTCTTAGTTACAGAGAAGAAGTCGCTTAAAGAAATATAGCCAAATTACCCCTATTTGGCCCTGCCCCTCAGCCCCTTGACCATTTGTACAATTTTGAATTCCCACCACCAAGGGATGCTTCTCAAATTTCGTTAATTTCCAATTAGTGGTTCAGAAGAAGAAGTCGTTTGAAAAAATTTAAGACGGGCGGACGACAGACAGACGACGGACGCCACGGTATGGCATAAGCTCACCTTTGTCCTTTGGACCCAATAAATACATCCTGATTGTGTTATCATAACATCTCCACATAATATTCAAACGTTCTCTAGTCATGCGAAATTATCTCCCTTTAATCTGACAAGAATTTACCTGATTCTTGTGCAACTACAGTCACTACAGTGGGATGTGGTGTGGTTGAGTGGGGTGGGTTTCGGTGGGGTGTGGTTGAGTCTAGTGGGTTTGGGTGGGGTTGGGTGTGGTAGGGTGTGGATGGGTGGGGTAGGGTTAGGGCATGGTGAGGTGGTGCGGTAAGGTGTGGCACAGTGGGGTTGGGTGGTATGGTAGGGTGGGGCATAAAAGGGGGGGGGGTAGGTAGGGTTGGGGTAGGGTAGGGTAGGGTTGGGGCATGGTGAGGTGGTGCAGTAAGGTGAGGCACTGTGGGGTTGGGTGGTCTGGTAGGGTGGGGCATGGTGGGATTGGTAGGGGTGTGGCACTGTGGTGTGGTAAGAAATAAACGACTTGTGGTCATTGCGCCCCTCATGGTGTATTCTCCCTGCAGTGTTTTATTGTAAGATAAACAACAACCTCGAGTCATATATTTCTTACATAAGCATGATAAGAGCACTCTTTTTGTCTAGGATAAAGAATAATACGATTAGGTCTTGATGGTGCAGGAATAACAACACTTCACCATCCACACTCTGTCCACTGACATATAAATCTTGGTTAATGGATTACAGGTTGTCAACCCTCCTCGCACCTGGAAGATGAAGTGCGTGCAGCTGCCGTCCTGCTTCCAGCTGTAGAAGCCGCCAAGGTCCTCCACGATGTTGTTGTACTCCGCCTGGTTCAGCAGCAGCTTCTTACTGACGGCGATCACCACACCATGGAGGGGCCCCTGCACCTCCTGGAGACAGACACTCAACAGTCGAACCCTTCACACGGTACACAACTTAAGTAAGAAAAACATATGTTTTTCTTACTTATTTGCCAATTTCTAGAATGGCCATCAAACAGTTGGAGTACAGAACACTGTCTACACTTACATAGCTCTTTTGGAAATGGCAGAATAAGTTTGGGAATACTGGGAAATACACCCGACACAGATTTGTAGAATTTTCCTATTCGGAATATTCTATAAGTAATACGTTACCACTGTTATACCGAGGCTGTTGTCTCCCACAACTGCTGCTATAGCGAAATCTACCACAGAGATCTCAATTACCTCATGCAGCATGTGCGTAGCCACCTAGCTGCCATGTGACACCCTTCACTCTTGTCTCCTGCGAGAGCAAGTGCTCGGGGGACGGACGGGCGGGCAGCAGCCCAGTGGTAACGTATTACTTATAGAATATTCCGAATAGGAAAATTCTACAAATTACATTAAGTAATACGTTACCACTGTTATACCGAGGCTGACTACCACAGTAGGCGGTGGGGAGCACCTACAACCCGAATCCTGACTGCTAGCGTTCCTTCCGACCAGCGGAAGTAAACACCAAGGCGGAAGCACTCGATGCGCATGCACCTAGCTAGGCGTTACCCTATAGGAATACCAAAGCACTGTCATGTGCATACCGTAAGGCTCAATCGTCATTGCCAAAACGATTGGTGACTCCAAACGGCCCCACTGGATAGGTATTTCATCGCCGCAGCGGATGAGAACACTGTATCCGCGTGAGCTAAATCTTAGATCAGGTTAAACAGTCGAAAAGAGGGAAATTAATTTCCTTCAGACCGTATATCCCAGAGCAAGCCTACTGAAAGTATGCATTAGGCGCGTGACCTAATTCCAGTATTCGTAAGCATGTATCGCAAGGTTGGAATACACGACAGACAATTAAATGCATAATTGTCAAAATACAAATAAGGACAAAACACACATAAAGCCGCCTCACCTGTGGTGTGAGTGCGCTGGTTTGCAGGACCCCCACTCCTGTACCCACGGCGTGGGAACATTGGAGACGACCCAGATTGACCACCGTGCAAGGACTGACGACTGCGGAGTTTGAAATTGCGCTGGACACACCCCCTAGATGACCGCTTGTGCCGCGATCAGCGGCCCAAGACGGTGCACCCCCTCCACGTCTTCATCAGAAACCTTTCTGAGGTAATGATTGGCAAAAACCGAGTCAGAACGCCAGTAACAACCCCGTAATATTCTGTGAACAGAGATATTCGAGTGTAGGGCAAATGTTGCCGCTAGCGCCCTGATCTCGTGCGGGTTTGACCCCGCTACCGGTAACCCCCGAGACCGGTACGCCAGATTGATGACAGAACGAAGCCACAACGCAATCGAGTTGCGAGTTATGTCAACCGTGCGATTAGGGTTACACGATATGAACAGACGGTCACGCCCTTGTCTACGTTCATTCGAAGCCTTAAGATAATACTTAAGGGCCCTAACCGGACACAGCGCTCTGTCCTCAGTATCAGCAGGATGTAAGATTTCTTTGAGTGATCTTACAGTGAATTCTCTCTCCGCTTGCCCGACTCTCTGATTCTTGGCGACGAAGCCCATGAGCAGGCCCAGGCGGACCGCTCCTTCGTCACCCCTATCGAATCGTACCTTGGCGACATCGAGTGCATGAATTTCGGATACACGTGCCGCCGTGGCAAAGGAGAGGAGAAATGCTGTTTTCCAAGTCACATGCCGGAACGAAGCACTATGCAAGGGTTCATACGGAGCTTCCGTAAGTGATTGCAACACTAGGGAAAGATCCCAGGCCGGTGCCCGAAGGCAGCCCTTCTTAAGATCGTGCTGTTTGAAACCCTTGATAATACCCCGTATCACCGGCTCTTTGGAGAGACTGGTACCCATAGCAATGTCCCGTACCGTAGCAACGGACGAGACATAGTTGGCAATGGAACCCCCGGAGAGTTTCCGGGTCTCTCGCAAGTGAGACATGAAACGAGCAATATCCTGCACAGATACCTTATCTGGCGAATGAATGTGATGTTTACAACACCACTTCGTGAAAATAACCCAACGTACCTTCTGGGTAGAATCACGATGCATACTAACGTATGCCCGAGACGCCCGGCGAGAAAAACCTTTACTCCTCAGACGCTCGGTGACAACATCCACGTGTGCAGATTGAACTGCCCTGCGTTTGGATGAAGCTGACGGGTGTGAGGGTGGATCAAGAGATCCGGTCTCACAGGCAGTGGGAGTGGCGACTGCGTGACCTGGGTCAGCAAGTCGGGGTACCACGATCTGTTCGGCCACATGGGCGCGATCAGTAACATTCGACAGCGAACTCCTCGAAGCCGGCTTAGAATGTGTGGTATCAACGCTGTCGGCGGGTAAGCATAAGCGTCCAAGCCCGTCCAGTCTAACGCGAGAGCATCGTGATCGATGGCCCTCGGGTCCGGGACTGGTGATACAAACAACGGGAGTTGATTGTTGAACCGCGTTGCGAACAGGTCGACCATCGGACGACCCAAACGTTCGCACAGCCACTGAAACACTACTGGGTTCAGCATCCACTCTGTGGGGCTCGGATCCCGAGGCCTCGATAGAGCATCGGCCAGTACGTTCCGCACACCTGGGATGTGACGGGCGCGTATCTGGCACGGGACACTGTCCACCAGAGCGTAAAACTCGAACGTGAGATCGAGCAGCGAGTGACTGTGGGTTCCCCCCAGTTTGTTCACATAGGACACTACCGTCGTGTTGTCGGTCGCCAGCATGAGCCGGGCGTCGACGAGACGATGCTTCCAGTGATTGACTGCGTTGATCACTGCCTTGAACTCGAGACAATTGATGTGAAGACCTAGTTCGTCTACGCACCACAGCCCCGAGCTCACCTCCCCCTCTAGATGGGCGCCCCAGCCCACTAGAGAGGCGTCTGTATACAGGTTCAACGTGGCCCGGTAGGGCCGCATAGAGACTCCTGATAAGACATTGTAAGGGACCGTCCACCACTCCAGATGCGGTCGGAGCCGATCCGGGAGGGCGACGGTCGCACTGTTCACCTCCGTTGCTAACAACTGGATTAAAAACCGTTGCAGCGGGCGGAGTTGGAGACGACCCCGTACGGTGCAGTCCTGGGCTGATACAAGTAGCCCTAACAGCTGTTCCCAAAAGTGAACAGTCTGTTGCACCGCTAAGACTTTGGCAATCATCGCCTGAATTTTGTGCCACCGGTCTGGGGGGACAAATAGGCGATGGGACACCGTGTTGAACCGACCTCCGATGAACTGCAAGTTCTGAGAAGGGGTTAACTCGCTCTTGGGGAGATTGACAATCCACCCCAATTGCTCCAAGAGCTGACGTGCGAAAACGAGATGGCGTGACAGGGTGTCCGACATTCGATTTGCTACTAGCGAGTCGTCCAGGTACGCGAAGTACCGGACACCCCTCCGGTGGAGGAACCCCACTATGGGGGTGGTTAACCGGGTGAACAGCCAGGGAGCGGACGAAAGACCGAATGGGAGTACAACCCACTCGTAGTGCCTGCCTTGAAAGACAAACCTGAGATACCTGTGATGATCCGAGTGAATCGGAACATGCAGATAAGCATCCTTCAGGTCGATCGAAGCTAGCCAGTCGGCCGGCATGATCAGTGCTTTCAGGTCCGTCAAGCTCAACATTCTGAACTTGGGCGGCTTGCGCAGGTAGAACTCGTTGAACGATTTCAAGTTGTGAATCATTCTGAGTTCGGCACTGTCCTTCTTGGGAACGAGAAATATCCTGGAGTAAAACCCCGGTGTTATTTCTGGTAGAGCTAACTCCCGAACTGCCCTCTTCTCCACCAACCTGCCGATGGCATCGGCGAGGAAGGGAAGATCGGTTTCCGAATAGAAACCTGCCGACGGGGCAACGGTGAGCGGCGGATTCGCTTTGAGATCGAGCCGATAGCCGTACCGAATCGTGTTGACCACCCACGGGTCGTCGAACACTTGTTCCCAATTCTCCCAGTAAGTCTGGAGTCTGGCTCCCACTGGGGAAAGAGAGGGGGGCCGGACGGGCTGCGGCAGGCGCAACTGTCCAGGGCCAAGTGACTCGGGTTCGCCTACGGGCCAACCGAAGTTGGCGCTGTCGGCATACGAACCCCTCCAATGAGAGTCACCTGGAGGGGCCGCTGCCGTCCTTAGACGACTTGGGCTTCCCCCAGTTCCCCTTCTTCCCGCGAAAGGGCTGCTGAGAACCCTTACCGGAGCCCTCAGAGCGGGGCTTCTTCCCGGAGGAAGAAGGACCCGACCCCTTAGGCCTGCCGGACGCAGCAACCTGGGGCGCGCTCCGCTTCGGAGCGGCACCCAGGCGCCTATGCAAGGACCCCACAAGATCCAGTGTGTGCCGAGAGGCCTCGGCAGACACAGCGGCCTGTTGTTCCTTCAGAACCCCAGGGATCTTGTTATTAAACAGGGTCCGAGCAGACCAAGGCTGCGAAAGGAGCACCTCCTGATTGGCAGCGTCCAACCCTGAAGCAACCAGATACGACTGGCGCCGAAGAAGAAAATGGCACGTGCCGGAAACAAAGGCCGAAGCCCTGGCAACGTACTCCAGGGAAGCATTCAAACCGAGCAAGCAGTTGTAAATGCGCTGGTCACGGTCCGTGGGAGAACCTTCGACCAGACTGGCCGCCGCAGCCAGGTATGTGTCTCCGTGAGACATAGCCAGCATGGAGTGTCGAGCGAGGGTGTCCAGCTGTTGCAGGGTACCTTGTGGTACCGTGGCAACCGGTGGGGCACGGACCCCCAAACGCTCCACATGGGCTTCCGCAGAAGGACCAGCCTTGGGAAAGGCAAGGTCATGAACTGGGAAAGACCCTTTTCTCCACGACGGGGGAGGTAACGGGAGACCCCGACCGGAGGCAGCCGTGAAGGCTTTCTCCAAAGACGGCTTAATCCCGCGCAGCAAGGTTGATGCCGGGAAAGCCTTGTCGGACGACTCGTCGTATACCTCGGAGGAACCCACGGAACCGTGGATACCCCGCGGTATCGGCAGGGGCTTCATACACCATGGCCACGCGGTCCTTAACCGATAGCGGAAGCAACGGTTCGGGGGAAGGACCGGTAACCACGGCAGCCGGCGCCATACCGGTGGACCCCGTGTCCGAACCCGCGGCCACCGAAGAGGCCGGGGACGGAACAGCCAGCGGCCTATCTTGCGATAAGGCCGCCAGCTTGGAGTCCACAATTTGCGACAACAATGCAGCGACGGAAGCCCCAGACAGCCCGAGGGCCGCAAGGGGATCCGCCGCAGCCGACAAGGAGGTGCCCGCACGGGGGCCCCGACCGGACGAACTGGCCACCACAGGGGTGGAAACGGACTGCGCGCACAGCCGGTACCGCTCAAACTCCGCAGGTCCCAGACCTTCGCACAGGGTGCACCGGGTTTCCTCGCAAGGAACCCTGCACCGCGGGCAACGATCGTGGGGATCCCGGGACGACAAAAACTTTCTGCACACCCCACTACTCCGAGGAGCAGGGGTAGAGGGGGTGGAGACAGGGGACATATCCATGTCAGACATTGATTGTTTTCTAGAAACAAAGAACAAAACATGGTTACAACGCATGCACCACAATGATTCACAAACGAACATTTTCACAAGAAAATAAACGAGCAATGTGAACATATAACATACACATATAACTTTTACTAAAGAAATAAGTTATGTTAACCCCCAAAACATACAAGAACAGGGGAAACGTAAAACACAACGTGCATACGCGAACCCCGCAAGTATATAGAAAAAAGGGCGGGAAAATTATAACCAAGCGTAGCTACCGCAACGCCCCATAAAAGCACAGTTTATTAGAGAATAAACGATAATAAATATCACCAAATCTTCAAGGAACGCTTCAGCAGGAGAAAACACGTCTTGCTAAGCAGACTAAGGAGACAAGAGTGAAGGGTGTCACATGGCAGCTAGGTGGCTACGCACGTGCTGCATGAGGTAATTGAGATCTCTGTGGTAGATTTCGCTATAGCAGCAGTTGTGGGAGACAACAGCCTCGGTATAACAGTGGTAACGTATTACTTAATGTAATTTCTGCTCACACAACTTCCTCCATTTGACCCCTCCAAAAAGACATGTCATTTATACAGAAGGGATTAAAAATCTTTGTTAAAAGTTTTTGCTATTAGATATCAATTCTTAGTATACATGGAGCTGTATTCACCAGCTGACTATGAGATAAGGTGCCATTTCTGATACCACACAACTTGCCATACATATATGAATGTGTCTTACTCAAAATGATGTTTTGACTGAAAGTATTTAATTTCCAGGACGCGGATGTGGACACTTTGTGACCATCCCAGGGATACCTGTGTAGTAAGTCCTAGTCACCCACCTCCGAGTGTTGAGCATCTCCTGTATCCTGGTCCTCCGTCCTCTTCACCGAGCTGTTCTCAACAGCCTTCTTCACGTGCTTCAGAAAAAACTCTCCAAGAGGCTGGAATCATTAACACTGACTCATCTAGTATGTGTGTATGACTCATCTAGTATGTGTGTATGACTCATCTAGTATGTGTGTATGACTCATCTAGTATGTGTGTATGACTCATCTAGTGTGTGTATGACTCATCTAGTATGTGTGTATGACTCATCTAGTATGTGTGTATGACTCATCTAGTATGTGTGTATGACTCATCTAGTATGTGTGTATGACTCATCTAGTATGTGTGTATGACTCATCTACAAAATGTAAATCCCAGAATATCATCAAGCAGCAGTATTAATTAACCTGAAGCAAGTACTAGCCTGAATGGTGATTACCGTATTCGACGTAATAAGCGCCCACGTTGATATTTGCTAAATTTTAAGAGCGCCCTGGGTGCTTATTACATCGAATACGGTACATGTATTAATACATCACAAAAAGCCTGAAATTCAGCTAGCCCTAAGGATAGCATAAGACAGACTCAGGCTAGTGGCCTAGAACCTACCAATTTGCATCCCTGAGGTCTAGGACTGTTTGTTTGTTTGTTTGTATGTATGTTGTTTAATGTTGCACTCAGCAATATTCCAGCTATATGATGGCAGTTTGGAAATAATCAAGTATAGACCAGACAATCCAGTGATTGACATCATGAGCATAAATCTATGCAATTGGGATATGATGACATGCATCAACCAAGTCAGCGAGCCTGACCACCTGATCTCGTTACTCGCCTCTTACAACATGCCTATGGCAATCATGGGTTGCTGAAGACCAATTCTACCCTGATCTTCACGGGTCCTGACAAAGATGTGGGGATGGTGAGATCAGGTAGTTATTACCTCGACTGGCACAAAACAGATGCAGGTGACCTGGGAATATTAATGATGTATGACCTCACCACACTTGATCTTCGCCTGTGTTTCTGGCTTCCATCACCCAAAGGAGACTGCAGAGATGTGAAGGTATCCTGTAACATGGCAACAAGGAGGATGTACCGTTACTCAGCACTCTGCTGAATGAGAGCAGTGCTCTGATTGTGTTATTGCTAATATCACTGGAAGAAAAATCATGCCATACCATTTTACCCTTCTAAGGCTTCAAAAAATAAAAGTATTGGTTCTCAGGCATAGCCTTTTGAAAATATGGGATTTTTTTTTGGCTTGTTCAAACTTGTATTGAACCACATAAACAGTTGTGTACCATCAACCAGGGAAAGGGCCTCCCTACATAAACAAGTTATACAAACTCCTATTGCCACCATGACCATAACACGAGAGGCACAGTAAAGCAGTGTGCATGTAAAGGGAAGGAACGTTGTGCTACATTGGATCACATTGTTTAAGCATTTCTTTCTTATTTTGAAAATGGAAATAAAAACTAAATGTGGGGCAGACTGTATGATGATGCGGGCGGTGCCTGAGAACCAAGACTATTATTTTTTTTAGCCTAATATGTTAATAACCTACTGACATATAAAGCTGTGGTATTCCATTGGTTAAGGACAATTATAATGGCCATGTTTCAGGGTATTATGCCTTATGTTTTGCTTTTAAGCAAGGATCCTTTAAAGTTTATTTACCAGTTAATGGTACACAAAGGAAGTTTTGTAGAATTTTCCTATTCGGAATATTCTATAAGTAATACGTTACCACTGTTATACCGAGGCTGTTGTCTCCCACAACTGCTGCTATAGCGAAATCTACCACAGAGATCTCAATTACCTCATGCAGCACGTGCGTAGCCACCTAGCTGCCATGTGACACCCTTCACTCTTGTCTCCTGCGAGAGCAAGTGCTCGGGGGACGGACGGGCGGGCAGCAGCCCAGTGGTAACGTATTACTTATAGAATATTCCGAATAGGAAAATTCTACAAATTACATTAAGTAATACGTTACCACTGTTATACCGAGGCTGACTACCACAGTAGGCGGTGGGGAGCACCTACAACCCGAATCCTGACTGCTAGCGTTCCTTCCGACCAGCGGAAGTAAACACCAAGGCGGAAGCACTCGATGCGCATGCACCTAGCTAGGCGTTACCCTATAGGAATACCAAAGCACTGTCAAGCGCATACCGTAAGGCTCAATCGTCATTGCCAAAACGATTGGTGACTCCAAACGGCCCCACTGGATAGGTATTTCATCGCCGCAGCGGATGAGAACACTGTATCCGCGTGAGCTTAATCTTAGATCAGGTTAAACAGTCGAAAAGAGGGAAATTAATTTCATTCAGACCGTATATCCCAGAGCAAGCCTACTTAAAGTATGCATTAGGCGCGTGACCTAATTCCAGTATTTGTAAGCATGCATCACAAGGTTGGGATACACGACAGACAATTAAAGACATAATTGTCAAAATACAAATAAGGACAAAGCACACAAAAAGCCGCCCTCACCTGTGGTGTGAGTGCGCTGGTTTGCGGGACCCCAACTCCTGTACCCACGGCAGTGGGAACATTGGAGTAGACCCAGATTGACCACCGTGCAAGGTCAGACGCCTGAGGAGTTCGGAATTGCGCTGGGCACACCCCTTAGGTGCCCGCTTGCGCCGCGATCCGCGGGCCAAGACGGTGCACACTCTCCACGACGGCATCAGCGACCTGTTTGAGGTAATGATTGGCAAAAACCGAGTCAGAACGCCAGTAACAACCTCGTAATATTCTGCGAACAGAGATATTCGAGTGTAGGGCAAATGTTGCCGCTAGCGCCCTGATCTCGTGCGGGTTTGACCCCGCTACCGGTAACCCCCGAGACCGGTACGCCAGATTGATGACAGAACGAAGCCACAACGCAATCGAGTTGCGAGGTATGTCAACCGTGCGATTAGGGTTACACGATATGAACAGACGGTCACGCCCTTGTCTACGTTCATTCGAAGCCTTAAGATAATACTTAAGGGCCCTAACCGGACACAGCGCTCTGTCCTCAGTATCAGCAGGATGTAAGATTTCTTTGAGTGATCTTACAGTGAATTCTCTCTCCGTTTGCCCGACTCTCTGATTCTTGGCGACGAAGCCCATGAGCAGGCCCAGGCGGACCGCTCCTTCGTCACCCCTATCGAATCGTACCTTGGCGACATCGAGTGCATGAATTTCGGATACACGTGCCGCCGTGGCAAAGGAGAGGAGAAATGCTGTTTTCCAAGTCACATGCCGGAACGAAGCACTATGCAAGGGTTCATACGGAGCTTCCGTAAGTGATTGCAACACTAGCCAAAGATCCCAGGCCGGTGCCCGAAGGCGGCCCTTCTTAAGATCGTGCTGTTTGAAACCCTTGATAATACCCCGTATCACCGGCTCTTTGGAGAGACTGGTACCCATAGCAACGTCCCGTACCGTAGCAACGGACGAGACATAGTTGGCAATGGAACCCCCGGAGAGTTTCCGGGTCTCTCGCAAGTGAGACATGAAACGAGCAATATCCTGCACAGATACCTTATCTGGCGAATGAATGTGATGTTTACAACACCACTTCGTGAAAATAACCCAACGTGCATTATACACCTTCTGGGTAGAATCACGATGCATACTAACGTATGCCCGAGACGCCCGGCGAGAAAAAACTTTACTCCTCAGACGCTCGGTGACAACATCCACGCGTGCAGATTGAACTGCCCTGCGTTTGGATGAAGCTGACGGCTGTGAGGGTGGATCAAGAGATCCGGTCTCACAGGCAGTGGAAGTGGCGACTGCGTGACCTGGGTCAGCAAGTCGGGGTACCACGATCTGTTCGGCCACATGGGCGCGATCAGTAACATTCGACAGCGAACTCCTCGGAGCCGGCTTAGAATGTGTGGTATCAACGCTGTCGGCGGGTAAGCATAAGCGACCAAGCCCGTCCAGTCTAACGCGAGAGCATCGTGATCGATGGCCCTCGGGACCGGGACTGGTGATACAAACAACGGGAGTTGATTGTTGAACCGCGTTGCGAACAGGTCGACCTTCGGACGACCCAAACGTTCGCACAGCCACTGAAACACTACTGGGTTCAGCATCCACTCTGTGGGGCTCGGATCCTGAGGCCTCGATAGAGCATCGGCCAGTACGTTCCGCACACCTGGGATGTGACGGGCGCGTATCTGGCACGGGACACTGTCCACCAGAGCGTAAAACTCGAACGTGAGATCGAGTAGCCAGTGACTGTGGGTTCCCCCCAGTTTGTTCACATAGGACACTACCGTCGTGTTGTCGGTCGCCAGCATGAGCCGGGCGTCGACGAGACGATGCTTCCAGTGATTGACTGCGTTGATCACTGCCTTGAACTCGAGACAAGTGATGTGAAGACCTAGTTCGTCTAAGCACCACAGCCCCGAGCTCACCTCCCCCTCTAGATGGGCGCCCCAGCCCACTAGAGAGGCGTCTGTATACAGGGTCAACGTGGCCCGGTAGGGCCGCATAGAGACTCCTGATAAGACAATGTAAGGGACCGTCCACCACTCCAGATGCGGTCGGAGCCGATCCGGGAGGGCGACGGTCGCACTGTTCACCTCCGTTGCTAACAACTGGATTAAAAACCGTTGCAGCGGGCGGAGTTGGAGACGACCCCGTGCGGTGCAGTCCTGGGCTGATACAAGTAGCCCTAACAGCTGTTCCCAAAAGTGAACAGTCTGTTGCACCGCTAAGACTTTGGCAATCATCGCCTGAATTTTGTGCCACCGGTCTGGGGGGACAAAGAGGCGATGGGACACCGTGTTGAACCGACCTCCGATGAACAGCAAGTTCTGAGAAGGGGTTAACTCGCTCTTGGGGAGATTGATAATCCACCCAAATTGCTCCAAGAGCCGACGTGCGAAATCGAGATGGCGTGACAGGGTGTCCGTCATTCGATTTGCTACTAGCGAGTCGTCCAGGTACGCGAAGTACCGGACACCCCTCCTGTGGAGGAACCCCACTATGGGGGTGGTTAACCGGGTGAACAGCCAGGGAGCGGACGTGTGAATCATTCTGAGTTCGGCACTGTCCTACTTGGGAACGAGAAATATCCTGGAGTAAAACCCCGGTGTTATTTCTAGTAGAGCTAACTCCCGTACTGCCCCTTCTCCACCAACCTGCCGATGGCATCGGCGAGGATGGGAAGATCGGTTTCCGAATCGAAACCTGCCAACGGGGCAACGGTGAGCGGCGGATTCGCTTTGAGATCAAGCCGATAGCCGTACCGAATCGTGTTGACCACCCACGGGTCGTCGAACACTTGTTCCCAATTCTCCCAGTAAGTCTGGAGTCTGGCTCCCACTGGGGAAGGAGAGGGGGCCCTGACAGGTTGCGACAGGCGCAACTGTCCAGGGCCAAGTGACTCGGGTTCGCCTAAGGGCCAACCGAAGTTGGCGCTGTCGGCATACGAACCCCTCCAATGAGAGTCACCTGGAGGGGCCCTTGCCGTCCGTCGACGACTTGGGCTTCCCCCAGTTCCCCGTCTTCCCGCGAAAGGGCAGCTGATTGCCCATACCGGAGCCCTCAGGGCGGGGCTACTTCCCAGAGGAAGAAGAACCCGACCCCTTAGACCTACCGGCCGCAGCAGCCTGGGGCGCGCTCCGGTTAGGAGCGGCACCCAGGCGCCTATGCAGGGACCCAACAAGAGCAAGTGTGTGCCGAGAGTCCTCGGCAACGTACTCCAGGGAAGCATTTAAACTGAGCAGGCAGTTGTAAATGCGCTGGTCACGGTCCGTGGGAGAACCTTCGACCAGACGGGCCGCTGCAGCCAAGTAAGTGTCTCCGTGAGACATGGAGTGCCGAGCGAGGGCGTCCAGCTGGTGCAAGGTAGCTTGCGTTACCGTAGCAGCCGGTGGGGCACGGACACCCAACCGCTCAACATGGGCCTCCGCGGTAGGACCAGCCTCGGGAAAGGCAAGGTCATGTACCGGGAATAAACCCTTTCTCCACGACGTCGGAGGCAACGGGAGACCCCGACCGGAGGCCGCCGCGAAGGCGTTCTCCAAGGAAGGCTTGAAACCGCGCAGCAAGGTTGATGCGGGGAAAGCCGTGTCGGAAGACTCATCGTATACCTCGGAGGAACCCACAGTCGTGGATTCCCCGCGGTACCGGCCGGGGCATGTCCTCAAAGAGGTCATAAACCATGGCCACGCGGTCCTAAACCGATAGCGGGAGCAACGGTTCGGGGGAAGGACCGGTGACCACGGGAGCCGCCGCCGTACCGGTGGACCCCGCGTCCGACCCCGCGGCCACCGAAGTGGCCGGGGACGGAACAGCCAGCGGCCTATCCTGAGATAAGGCCGCCAGCTTGGAGTCCACAAGTTATGCAAGTAATGCAGCGACGGAATCCCCGGACAGCACACGGGCCGCCAAGAGATCCGCCGCTTTACCGGTGGACCCCGCGTCCGACCCCGCGGCCACCGAAGAGGCCGGGGACGGAACAGCCAGCGGCCTATCTTGCGATAAGGCCGCCAGCTTGGAATCCACAAGTTTCGACAACAATGCGGCGACGGAATCCCCAGACAGCCCGAGGGCCGCAAGGGGATCCGCCGCAGCCGAGGAGGTGGTACCCGCACGGGGACCCCGACCGGACGAACCGGCCACCACAGGGGTGGAGACGGACTGTACGTACAGCCGGTACCGCTCAAAATCCGCAGGCCCCAGACCTTCGCACAGGATGCACCGGGTGTCCCCGCAAGGAACCCTGCACCGCGGGCAACGATCGTGGGGATCCCGGGACGACAAAAACTTTCTGCACACCCCATAACTCCGAGGAGCAGGGGTAGAGGGGGTGGATACTGGGGACATATCCATGCCAGACATTGATTGTTTGCTATAAACAAAGAACAAAACATGGTTACAACGCACGCACCACAATGATTCACAAACGAACATTTTCACAAGAAAATAAACGAGCAATGTGAACATATAACATACACATATAACTTTTATTAAAGAAATAAGTTATGTTAACCCCCAAAACATACAAGAACAGGGGAAACGTAAAACACAACGTGCATACGCGAACCCCGCAAGTATATAGAAAAAAGGGCGGGAAAAAATTTCCGTTTGGCGGGAAAATTATAACCAAGCGTAGCTACCGCAACGCCCCATAAAAGCACAGTTTATTAGAGAATAAACTATAATAAATATCACCAAATCTTCAAGGAACGCTTCAGCAGGAGAAAACACGTCTTGCTAAGCAGACGAAGGAGACAAGAGTGAAGGGTGTCACATGGCAGCTAGGTGGCTACGCACGTGCTGCATGAGGTAATTGAGATCTCTGTGGTAGATTTCGCTATAGCAGCAGTTGTGGGAGACAACAGCCTCGGTATAACAGTGGTAACGTATTACTTAATGTAATTTAAAGATCTAAAATCAGTTATGGGGTGATGTGTTAGATTTTGTCATCTTCAAGCAGAAATAAAATGCCTCCATGTAGGATCTTTTACTGATGCACCTGTACTTCTGAAGGGGTATCTTTTGTGCGCCAAGAAAGGCACAGTTGTTAGTCCAATTGTGGAAAAAACACTTTTACTTATTCATGCTCAAAAAGCAAAATAAAGACAAGAAGTATGACAATCTGGGGTCGCTGGCTTACACAATGTGTCCAGTCATTGAATACAGAGCACTAGAAGAGATAAGGATACTCACTGCAATATTGTATTTTGGGACAAATGAAACACCGGTACGGAGAAACTTCCCGGGTGTGTCGTTCCCACTCTTCGAAGGAGAGGCAGCCTTTGGTGTTTGGGGTTTGTCTAGATGGAGTTCCTACAACAAAACAAGAAACAAGTTCATCCAGGAACAAATGTAACATATCATTTTCTGGTGACTTTTCATTTCCATGAACTGTCTAAAGTAAGAAAGAAGGAAATAAAAAGGATTACATAAGCAGTGTGAAAAAATTAATTTTCTTAAATTCACGTGGTCACAAACAGGAAACACAAGATGTGAAACCCATGAAGATGCAGGTTAGAATTGGTCTTCAGCAAACCATGCTCGTTGTAAAAGGCGATTAAAGGTATCAGGTGGTCAGACTCACTGACTTGGTTGATGCATGTCATCGTATCTCAATTGGGAAGATCAGTGCTTATGATGTCCATCAATGAATTGTCTGGTCCGGACATTTCTGGACAGCCATCATATAGCTGGAACATTGCTGACTGTAAAGTTAAACAACAAACAAATAAAACAACAAACCTTAACACGACTATGCTGAGGTCTGTTGGTGATATCGGTTGGTTCTAAAGATATATTTTCTTTCTGACTTAGACTTTCCTTCGCAGCTATTTCCTCCATTAATGACTTGGCCCCTGACATGGGGTCCATCACATTAGGCCGGCTCTGAGATTCTTCGGCTGATGATGTCGGTATAACTGCATCAAGAGCAGGTTTGACAGCTACAGGAGTCACTTTCTCCAGTCTGGAAGCCTTCGGGTCTTCACAGTTCACGTTGTTATTGTTTGTGTTTGAGTCTGGTTTGTTATCACAGTGTTTTGATGCTGGCTCATGTTCTGGAATGTTGGACACTGACTCTGGGCCTGACTTCAGAGCAGTGACTTTATCTATAGTGTAGTTAGCTTCCGGCTCCCTCTTTCCAGACCTTGCACAGGCAAACAGCCAGCTGAAACAACAGGAAATGATACAGAGTCATGATAAAACTGAACAGGGAGTAATCAAAGCCTGGCATTTACTGCGGTCTATCTCTGATTCCAGGGTACTCTCAGTAATAACAGTGGGGTTCGAATCCCGGGTCACCCTGATTTTGTTTCCAGGTTTGTCAGCACCATATGGCCGTGGATTTCACCAAAGTTGAAACATGTAAGACCTGCACCACTTCCGGCTTTCCTACCACATTAAGCTGACATGCCGAGACATAACTAGACTACTGTTGCATCTTTAAACCCAACTCACCCAACTCAACCACCCACCCACCAACTCACCCACCAACCTAACTCATTCACCCACCAACCCAACTCATTCACCCACCAACTCACCCATCCACCCAACTCATTCACCCACCCACCCAACTCATTCACCCACCCAACGAACTCATTCACCCACCCAACGAACTCATTCACCCACCCACCCACCAACTCACCCACCCACCCAACTCATTCACCCACCCAACAAACTCATTCACCCACCCACCAACCCACCAACTCACCCACCCAACAAACTCATTTACCCACCCAACAACTCACCCATCCACCAAAATCATTCACCCAACCAACAAACTCATTCACCCACCAAATTTCACTCACCCACGCACTCACTCTAACTCACTCACTCCAGTCCACCAATCCGACAACTTACAGTTTTGAAACTGCAGGTAATTTCCACTTTTTGGCTGCTTCATACTTGGTTCCCGAGGCTTCCTTTACCAGCAGGTGTGTGCTGGCCAGGAGGCCTTTATTGGCCCGCCGGACAAAGTATTCCTGACAACTACAACATATTTAATTGTCAGCCTCTTTTCATTGGAAGTCATACTCTGTTCAATGCAAATTGTGTGTTGATAAATGAGATTTGGTTGGTTGGTTTGTTGTTTAACGCCGCACTCAGCAATATTCCAGCTATATGACGGCGATCTGTAAATAATCAAGTCTGGACCAGACAATCCAGTGATTAATATCATGAGCATCGATCCACGCAATTGGGGACATGCATCAACCAAGTCAGCGAGCCTGACCACCTGATCCAGTTAGTCACCTTTTACAACAAGCTGAGTCACCTTTTACGGCAAGCATGGGTTGCTGGAGACCTGTTCTACCCCGAAAACTTCACGGGGCTGATAAATGAGAAACAAGGAGTATCATTGTTGCAATAGTAACAAAATCACCATTACAATCTGGTGTGCCTGGAATGCCTACCTTGCACCAATTATCATGGCTATATGCATGAGACAGTCCCTTTCCGTTCCACTGAAACCACTGAAACAAAGAATAACATTAACTATTTAAGAAGTCTTTTTTTAATAACTCCCAGGGATCTTGTCATTAACCTAACATAAAAAATGAAAGATAAAGTGTGTCCAGGGGATGATGGCAGTAAAGTCAGTCATTATCCCAGGAGGTCATGAATTTCTAACAATGACTCCTCATCCCATGATATGCTGTTATTTAGAACGCAGATTTATTTCATAATAGATTGAAACAGCTTACTACAACCAAATTATGCTTGTCCATTTCAGGATCATATTGGTGGGAGGGTATGTGTGTGTGTGTGGGGGTGGGGGGGTGGGGGGGGGGGAGGGTATGTGTGTGTGTGGGGGGGGGGGGGGGGTGTGTGGAGTAGTGGGGGGGAAAAGAGACAAACATGTTTCTAAAAAGAGACGAGGGTGGAAGGATTTTATCTCTATTTCTTATTGATGAGGAACAGGTCTTATGTTTTTCCCACTAAGATTTCCAACAAACAACTGAGCACTTATTGATATCATCCATTTCATACAATGTCAGTTGTCAAGCTGTTTATTTTATGGATAACAGAGTATCCTTCAAATGATAATTAAAATGGGGTTTCTTATTGGCAACAAAAATGACAGACATGCAGGATTAAAAGTGGTACAGTAATGCTCGAGAAAAAAATTCCTAATTGTTGTAAGCCTAAGCTACACAGATTTAATGAAGATCAAAGGTACCCCAAAACAGGTTCTGCTGACTAAAAAGGAGGTGGACATCCCACCTGATGTTTGTTTGTTTGTTTGTTGTTTAACGCCGCACTCAGCACTATTCCAGCTATATGTCGACAGTCTGTCAATAATCGAGTCTGGACCAGACGAACCAGTGACTGACATCATGAACATCGATCTTCGCAATTGGGATACAATGACATGCATCAACCAAGTCAGCCAGCCTGACCACCTGACCCTGATAGTCGCCTCTAACGAAGAGCATAGTCGCCTATTACGGCAAGCATAGGTTGCTGAAGACCTATTTTACCCAGAGTCTCCCACCTGATGGAGAGCACACAGCCGTCCAGGGGCTTCAGCTCATCGATGTTGTTGATGATGTCGATCGGGAGAAACAGCTGATTCTGTTCCACAGGTAGCAGCTTCTCTTCTTCTATACACATTTGCTGTAAACGCAAAAACTTTGTCAACACTCAACACAAAACCTAACATTCACTCCTGACAAAAGCATGGAGGGGGGCCTTGTGTAAAGCTGAATTACAACATGAGTTTCAAAATCATTCCTTGAATTATACAAGTAACTTGTTTATAGAGGGAAAACTCATACTTCAAAACTAAGGGGGGCTTTTGCGGTTTATTGCTATAGTATTTAAATCTAGGGGTTAAATCTTTGACCCCTCTTTTGAACACTACATTTTGTTTGTTTTGTTTGCAATATTCCAGCTATATGACAGTGGTCTGCAAATAATCGAGTCTGGACCCGACTATCCAGTGATTGACATCATGAGCATCGATCCAAGCAACTGGGATACGATGACATACATACACCAAGTCAGCGAGCCTGACCACCCATTAGTCGGCCCTTATGACAAGCATGCACGTAATCACACAGTAGACTTATTCCTTGTCTTCTTATGAATTGATGCGATCTATTTATGTTTGTTTGTTTGTTTGTTTTTTAACGCCACACTCAGCAATATTCCAGCTATATGACAGCGGTCTGTGTAAATAATCAAGTCTGGACCAGACAATCCAATGATTGACTTCATAAGAATCGATTCGGGACTCGGGATGCAATCGGGACACGATGACATGCATCAACCAAGTCAGCGAGCCTGACAACCCGATCGTTAGTCGCCTCTACGACAAGCATAGTTGCCATTTACAGCACGCATGGGTCGCAGAAGACCTATTCTACCCCGGATCTCCACGGGTCCACTGCAACCTGTACAGCAGTGAGTCTTGGTCCACAACAATATGTTACACAAAGTCAGAACAAGATACATAATGTCACTCACCAGCCACACATTGGTGAGAACTTCATTGACAGTGATGGATACTGGATAGCCATCAATGGGCACGATGCCGAAGTCAGCCACAACACGACGGTTCTCACCAACAACTCTACCTGAAACCAAACAATACCTGACGTAACATGCAATGCCTGGAAGATGCTCCACATGAGTTAGTCATACTGCTAACTAATCACTGGTACAATCCACTTATCGACTCTAGGACAAATAAAAGCCTGATACTTGGTATTTTTATAAATGATAGCTAACTACAAACAACAAGAAAGTAAGTGAGATCGTTTAACAGTTCTCCAGATACACCTAGTCATGTCAGTTACATGTGACCCGATGGGGACCAGGTCTCTACTGCTTCCATCTTAGCAATAATCTGAGCTTAAATCTTTAAAAGAGGAGACATGCTATCAAACACAATGGGCATGGGACACAATTCTGCATAAAAAGTTGTTGCACCTTACACCCTGCCTCACAAAACACCATAGAATTTGCTCTGTAAATCATTCTGATATATATATAGTGAACAATAAAAGTAAGGAATCATGAATATTTTTGGGATATTTTTATGAAACTCTGTGCTCAGTCTTCACTTTATTGCCATATCCCCAAAATAATCCCTAACTTAATTTGTCCAGTATATATATTTTCACAATATTCTAAGGTGTTTTTCATACAGCTTCAAGTGATAAACTTTCCATGGTGATTGTCAAAGGATCAGCTAATGAGTGCTGGGCCCCCTTCCTCAAAGTGATCTTAGCGCTAAGGTGATCGTAAGTCCCATACTTTAACATAGGCTTACGATCATCGTAGCACTAAGATCGCTTTGAGGAACGGGGCCCTGGTGTCGCCAGCCATCACGGCATCTGGAAACATCAAGATCAGGTGGACAGAGCAGCATATATTCCTAGTACACCACAAGCTCTTGTTTTGTTTGATCTTAACGGTCATCCATTGGAACCTACGTGCCGGGTCACATTGCCTACCTCCTCTCTCTTTAATGTAATTGCTCAGTTCACTGATCTGTTCCTCATCGAATCCAAAGAAGACAATGGTTTTCTTGTAGAATATCCCCTTGTCCCCGTCCTGTGTGCCCTGAGTTTCTCCATCAACCTCGTCATAATCTGTGACGGGGACACAGCAATATAAATACAGGTCAGTCTGTACAGGCAACAACATGAGGGTTATATCATTCATCTAATGGTTTTGTTTGTTTGTTTGTTTGTTGTTGCTTAACGCCGCACTCAGCAATATTCCAGCTATATGGCGGCGGTCTGTTAATAATCAGATCTGGACCAGACAATATTGTGATCGACGTTATGAGCATCAATCTATGCAATCGTGATACAATGACATGCATCAACCAAGTCAGCAAGCCTGACCATACGATGCCGTTAGTCGCCTCTTACGACAAGCATAGTCGCCTCTCACGGCAAGCATGGGTTGCTGAAGACCTATTCTAACCCAGATCTTCACGGGTATCATTCACCTGAACATGCTGACATAGACACGAATATACATTCAACATAAAACCTAGTACTGGAAGGAAGAAGACACATTCAGCTGAAGGGTCTGTATGCTACTTACTTTTGACGTAAACTGCTAATATTTACAGCTGATTCAGAAATAATATAAAAATATATTCAACAAATACCGGTAATTTATTTAACTATTTTCATCTCAGCATATTGGGATAATGGCTTGTTTAATGATTGCATCAAAATCAGCTGGCATGTCTTTGCAATCATGAACGCTGCCTTTTGAAATGTGTTTAGTTCTTTTGACTTACATATCATAAAAAATCTTGTTTAATTCTCAAATGAGTTCAAATATAAGTGAATACTTTTTCAACTCACTATTGCCTGTAATTGTTTCATCCCCTTTGGCTTCAATTGTTGTTGTTTCTCTCTCTGCATCCTTCTGTGTTGATTCTACACGTAAACAAAACATAGTAACAATCATGCAAGATTCCTGCATTGGAAATTATCCCCCCCCAAAAAAAGACACTCATCTGAACAAATACGATGAATAACACATATTTACATTTATGCCTTGACAACCAGAGATGAGAGATAACAAGTTTGCTTGGGTCTAGGAGATCACAATAGATCACAGCAAATGTAGACACACACTGCACCTTGAGGCAGATACTGGCTGAGGATGTCGTCCATGTCGTTCTGTTCTGCTGGGCCCCGCGTTGCATCGGCATCAACTGGTTTCGGTGCGGCAGCTGGCCTGGATGATTTCCTTTTTCTGGAATGTAAAAAAACATAAACATCATTTTGTACATAAAACCATGCAGCTAATCATATTCTGCTCTCAGCCAAAAGATTCATTTATTTAGTATAAAAAAAGAGTCATCAGGAGATAACAAATCCCCCTGGCCCCCCATAATAGCAAAAAGCACCACTTCAGCCCCCGTTAATATTTGTACCAAATTTAGGTGAAAAACAGAAATGATCCAGAAAATGAAAAATATGGACGGACAGGACGGCAGACCAGATGATGACTATATCCCCCCTTATTTTACGCCAGGGGGATAACAACAAAAACTGTTCTGACTTATTCATTAATACAATGAGTGATATTTGTCAAATTGAAAGATATATTGCAGACAAAAACAACAGAATCCATTGTTGTCACAAGAAGTAGAAGCAACTGACCAAGACCATCTGTCAATAACCATAATAAAACAAGTGAAGCGGTCATAAAATATTTATCTCAGTATAAGAATAATTACTGATTACATCAAACATTGTATACAAGCCTTCCATCAGTAGTTTAATCATGTCAACAACCTTGCATGTAAATTTTTATAGTTTTTACTTTATTTACTTGTTACCACATACTTTCAAACAGAACAAAAACAAAAACATCACCATGGCAAGACAGGATATCTTAAAAATGCCCTGACATAGACATCAGTTCGGGTGAGCTAAAAACTGTTCCTGGTGCTTACCCTTTCATTTTAGGGGATGTTGGATCAAGGGCAGGTAACTCCAGACAGAGATACGGCTCCACATCGACAGTCTTCTCCAGCTTGTAACACTCTACCAGCCACGCTGCCGACACCACATGGGGTCTGGTTGAACATACCAACATCATCACATATTATGTGTAATATTCCTTTGCAGTTCTCCTTACCTCCGACAAACGCAGCAATATCATATATCAACCTTATTAGAGCATACAGGGTGAGCATTTTGCATACAAGGTGAGCATTTTAGGGGTCAAAATTTCATTATCTTAATTCCCTCTACTCTCTTGACAACTATCAAAGATGATATTTTATTAATAACACAAACATGATAAAATGTTGAGAAGCATCCTACACCTATACACCATGTACAATGAAATTGTTCGCAGATATGAAAATTATTAAAGGACGGAACACAATACATTTTTTAGCACAAGCACAAGCACAAACCTGAGATCACTGTTTCTGAGCATGTCAATGTCTGACTGGATCTTCTCGCCCATCAGGACATGGGTCACGCTCTCATTGATCGTGTTGAATCTGAGGGAAACCAGACATCAAGAAAACAGCCATAAGAACTAACGCTCGGACGTACACCAACTGTGCGATCCGATACGTATCGCAATACTTGCATGTTCATTTATCTGTGGTTCGTAAGCCATCTTTAATTTTGTTAGCCTGTTAGCTTTGGTAATTAAAATTAAAATCCAAAACAGTTGATTTATGTTGTTGTGTCTTTTTTCCAAATGCATTAAAGACAATTTTCATGATAAATTCTGATTGAGGCTTTTGAAGCCGCGCCAAAAGCTGTAAGAAAGTCTTGGAACATGTTACCTGGTTGCTCCTCCTGCATTGATTATTTTTCTCAGCTTCTCCAGACTTGGGCCACGGAAACCGCTGAGGTAGAACTGTAAGAATCATTCAAGAACAGTATGTGACAGTGACACCTTGGTCCACGATATGGAAAGTGGGAGAGTCACAAACCGTATGTGACAGTGACACCTTGGTCCACGATATGGAAAGTGGGAGAGTCACAAACCGTATGTGAGAGTGACACCTTGGTCCACGATGTGGAAAGTGGGAGAGTCACAAACCGTATGTGACAGTGACACCTTGGTCCACGATGTGGAAAGTGGGAGAGTCACAAACCGTATGTGACAGTGACACCTTGGTCCACGATGTGGAAAGTGGGAGTGTCACAAACCGTATGTGACAGTGACACCTTGGTCCACGATGTGGAAAGTGGGAGAGTCACAAACCGTATGTGACAGTGACACCTTGGTCCACGATGTGGAAAGTGGGAGTGTCACAAACCGTATGTGACAGTGACACCTTGGTCCACGATGTGGAAAGTGGGAGAGTCATAAACCATATGTGACAGTGACACCTTGGTCCACGATGTGGAAAGTGGGAGTGTCACAAACCGTATGTGACAGTGACACCTTGCTCCACGATGTTGAGAGTGGGAGAGTCACAAACCGTATGTGACAGTGACACCTTGGTCCACGATGTGGAAAGTGGGAGAGTCACAAACCGTATGTGACAGTATCACCTTGCTCCACGATGTTGAGAGTGGGAGAGTCACAAACCGTATGTGACAGTGACACCTTGGTCCACGATGTGGAAAGTGGGAGAGTCACAAACCGTATGTGACAGTGACACCTTGGTCCACGATGTGAAAAGTGGGAGAGTCACAAACCGTATGTGACAGTGACACCTTGGTCCACGATATGGAAAGTGGGAGAGTCACAAACCGTATGTGACAGTGACACCTTGGTCCACGATGTGGAAAGTGGGAGAGTCACAAACCGTATGTGACAGTGACACCTTGGTCCACGATGTGGAAAGTGGGAGAGTCACAAACCGTATGTGACAGTGACACCTTGGTCCACGATGTGGAAAGTGGGAGTGTCACAAACCGTATGTGACAGTGACACCTTGGTCCACGATGTGGAAAGTGGGAGAGTCACAAACCGTATGTGACAGTGACACCTTGGTCCACGATGTGGAAAGTGGGAGAGTCACAAACCGTATGTGACAGTGACACCTTGGTCCACGATGTTGAGAGTGGGAGAGTCACAAACCGTATGTGACAGTATCACCTTGGTCCACGATGTTGAGAGTGGGAGAGTCACAAACCGTGAATACATCAGGTGAAACAGGTGGAAGGTAATGTTACTGTCAGCAGTATGTCTAGGTTATGTAACTGTAATTTATTCATGGTCATTTGGGACTTCTCTCCATCAATACTACATGGCATAATTTGTGATTCTGAGGTGTGGGAAATCAATGTCCGACTTGACCAGAAAAACAAAAAGATCAGCTTCGGGATGTCCAAGGACAACCTTATTCAGTTAAGTTTGATAAAATATCCATAAGAAGAACTAAATACAGCTTTGATAAAGTTCAAAAATTGCGAGTACAACCAATCCAACTGACAGCACAGTAATGTTCACTTCCTTGTTCTGATAACGATCAAGCTTTTGAACACGCTCTGATTGGTGGTTCAGAGTACCATGTAGCCAATCAAACAACATATTGTAAGACGTCATGGCAGATTGCACTGGCTGCTCAAAACATAATGTTTTCATTTGATTATATTTGACAAGCAACAGATGAATACATTATTTAGTGGCAACAGCAACAGAGATAAGAAAATTGTTTCATCAACATCAAAAGAAAAAGCGGGCATTTACTGACTTTTGTAATAAAAACACCAGTTTGGGTCAATAATTTGGACAAGTAGACTCTGTCTCCTGATAAATGAATTTTGACAGTTACAAGTACACAATTCTGCTATTTGCACACCCCTGTTGTATATATGCTGCTAGAGTACCTTACAACCATCCAGGAAGACGTCCCCCGGGATGTGAGTGACATCCAGAGACTCCAGAAGGTCCTCGGTAACGTGGGTCCTCTGTAAGGCTGCTGTAGTTTCATTGATTCCAGATATAACGGATAAGTTGTCAATTGAACTAATGTCTCCAAGATGGGTTGCATGGACTGAAATAGACATGGAATTGTGTACCAAGCTAATAACATTGAATAGATCTGATAACTGATCACCAGGAAACTAAACATCATATCTTTCTGTCAGCCTTCAAATCATGATTCAAAGTTCAAACTTTTGTTTAATGCTGTTATATCACAGCGTGTCAGCTTAATGTGGAAGGAAAACCAGAAGTGATGCAGGTCTCAGGTATGGTATGGTGCTGACAAACCTAGAAACATAATTGGGGCAAACTGGGATACAAACCCATGGTCATAGGTTTCCAGCAACCCCAGGGAAGAAACTCTGCACCCCTAATTGCAGTGCCTTATACGACTTGGCCACCTGTGCCCCTGACTCAAAATTCAAAAAAGTGTATTCTGTCAATGATTTTACATCCATATCAACATACTGACTTTATGGCTCCATGTTTCTCGTATAGAGATTCTGAAAGGTGTTTAAAGTGTTCCGCAACTCACTAGTAGATCTCTCCCTGTCTGGTGTTGATGTCTTCTGCTGGTTTGTTGTGTTCATATTCTTCTCTACTCTGTAGTCTGTCTCATCCAGACAGTACCCTTTCTCCACCGAGTCGTACAACCAGCGTGGCCGAACTATATGTATCTTCCACTTCGTAGCATGCTCATATTTCTGTCCTGTATCATAAACAACGTGTGCAACTTTCAAAAAATCATTTGATTGCTTAAAAGTTTCCACTCAAGATCTAATCATGCCAATTTGGTTAAATCAGTTCTCCAACACTTTTATTATTTGTAAGAATTACATTATCTGAAATAAATCATGGCTCCATGAAATCAGTAAAACTTATCTGTAATAAAATGTCTGCCTCAACTCAATAGTGAGTCAGGCTAAACGCTGCTTTGAACAGTATTCCAGTCATATCACGCCGTGTCAACTTGAAGTGGCAGGAAAACCCAAAGTGATGCAGGTCTCAGATGTTTACAACAAGCACGGGTATGGTGCTGACAAACCGAGAAACATAATCGGGGCAAACCGGGATATGAACCCATAACCACAGGTTTCTGGCATGCCCAAGGGACGCAACTCTGCACAGTAGATTGAAGCGCCTTAGACGGCTCGGCCACCTGTTCCCCCCACTTTTTTACAAGGTATCACTTCTAAGAATAGTGAGTGAGTATGGTTTTCGCCGCTTTTAGCAATAATCCAGCAATATCACGGCCGGGGACACCAGAAAAGGGTTTCAGCTGTTGTACCCATGTATTAATAAGAACATCAATGAGGAAAATCTATGAATGTATGAAATGGTGGAACACACTTCACCTTTTGCTTCCTTGACAATGAGATGTGTACACTCCTTCATCTTCATCTCCCCTGTGTATCTTCCCCCTGTAAACAAAACAGGGTTCCACATCCCACTACAGAGACTACTTATAGAAACACATTCAACAAACTCTCATCATGGCGTAATAAATGAACACAAATGTCTGACAACGGTCTAAGGATCCTTAGAGGAACATCATAACAGTATATTAAAGAAGTTGTTATCCACAAATTGTCTACTTTGTCATACATCATCTTGAAAGATTTGCCTATCTAATAATTGAAAAATAACATGTAGTCACACCTTTTTAAAAAGCATTTCTTCTCCTTTTGTTTGCTTGTTTGTTGCTTAACACCACTGAGCAATATTCCAGCTATATTTGACGGCGGTCTGTAAATAATCGAGTCTGGACCAGACAATCCAGTGATTGATATCATGCGCATCAATCCACGCAATTGGGACACAATGACATGCATCAACCAAGTCAGGGAGCCTGACCACCCGATCCCTTTAGTTGCCTCTTACGACAAGCATAGTCGCCTTTTACGGCAAGCATAGGTTGATGAAGACCTAATCTACCCTGGATCTTCACGGGGCTTTCTTCTCCTCACACAGAAGAGAAAGTAAACACTTTCAAAAGTCTTTAATAGATCAGAGCAAATGTTCATGTTGTCAGGATATACACTTATACGTGCATGTTAAATGGAGCTCAGGCTATTAGTGAAATAATACAAGGGTACAGACTGTTGCAACTTATAGGTATTCCTCACAACATGGCTGAACAATTAATGTCAAACACAACATTTATCCCAACCAAGAAACTAACCCTCAGCCTCGATTGTCTTCTTTACTTCCTTCCTCTCATCTTGGTCCAGACCTGACACCGTCACCACAAGGCCACAGAATATAGGACATTGGTACTTCTGGAACTGTTCATCCGTGGCATGGACATGTCTGAATCAAAACAGCATGATTCAGTTTGCATCTGCGTTACCATGACAACACATCACCTACTCTTATCACTGCACAATGACATCGCATATTCATATGAACAGTAAAGTTGAAAGACATCAACATGATCAAGGATGAACACAAAGAATGGTTTTATCATGATCACATATAATGATGATGTTTACTTTATAAACAATGAAAATGTTTACATGTTTGTGTATGTAATTGAGTAAGACCAATTTGTCAGTAAAATGAATCCCCGTCCCTCCTGTCTGACAATATCTGTTATGTTTACTTTGCAAAATATGTAACAAGGGACTGCAGTGACGTCATAAAACAATTGAAGGAGATATAGTGCTGCAAAGATTGTTATTTGGTATGAAAACTAATCATAACATACTATTTTCAGTATGTGCAAGAGTTCCCAAGCTATTGTAAGTCTCAGTGTCTGCTACATGTGTTATTGTGGATCTCAAGTCATTCTTGTTGATGATGGAACATGTAACTTGTCTAGTAGCGAGTGTTAGTAAGTGTTAAAGTTGGGTTTAATGCCTTTTTTAAACATAATCGGGGCAAACCACAATTCGAACACATGATCATTGTTTCTGGCACGCCCAAGGGACGCAACTCTGCACAGCAAACTGCAGTGCCTTAGATTGTGCCCCCTTATCAAATTTTAACGTACCTAATATTGATATTGTGACAATATTACACAGCCCAAGTAAGATATGTTACATTATTTCAGTTTTGCTGTGTCACTCAAAACAACAACTTTTCTCATCTACTCAGTAGATGAACTGTAAAGAAAAGATGAACATCCTCAATCTCCCCATTCTCCCTGCCATGATCCTGCAGACAGGAACACCAACACCAACACCTACCTGTACTTGGCCTTCTCCCACACCGATGTCACCCATTTCGGCATCATGATGTGCTTGCCCAGACTGCCAGCGACCTGAGGTGAAGTCAACAAGCCAGACATCAGTACATTCACAGAGAGATTCACGCACATGTACTACCTATCTCATGTCATAATCGCTACAGGAAACAAACAACTACAATTACCCTGCATTTACCAGAGAGATCCCAATGTGGCTGAAGTTGAAAGTGATGTACACAGGGAGTAGGTGATTATCCCAGGAACCAGACGAACCTCTGGTTGAGATGTGCAATATCCCACATCATCGGTACAGTGACAAGAAAAAAAGTCACGCGTCTTACCACCCAACCACAATCACCTGTTACTTAAAGCATTGGTTACTGTGGGTGCAGAGTAAGCAGCACTTCAGCAAAACATCACCAATTTCATCTGGTGAATACACCGATTTTGCTACTGAAGGTCAAGCGAAAAACGGCACCTTATACATACATTGTACATGTTGTACAATAAAGATTAAAACTATTTATGTAGTAGTGTATATACTTTATTCATATCACTGCCTTCTATCGATACGACATTGTGAATTGTGATATGACAGCACCCTGTCATGCATCTTAAATACAATTTTGGCTTGGGACATATTCCGTTTTCGCCAAGTGGTGCTGTTTTCGCTATACATGCTATAACCCCCTCTTGTAACCTGATGTACCCACTGGTCTGTAGGTGTAAGTGTTACAGACAGACAAACAGTTTATTCAGTAATTTAGGCATCAAGTGTCACTGACTTCTGCAACATCTGACTTGTCACATGAACAAGGGTGACAGTTCTATGGATACACAACTTCTTTATTACAATGAATGCAATGTTTCAGAGTAGATGCTAACAACGTAGATACTAGCACTGTGATAACACTGTTAGTATCTACACGGAAACGTCCCATTGATTGTAATATAGAACTTGTATATTCATCGAATTATCTCCCCTGTTCATCATACCAACTTCTAAATGCCACTTGAAGAAAAAACAAGAAAGCAGCATTATCACTATCCCCCGCCATGGGGCACATTAGAATTTTGTTTGTTCATATAGTAGTGTACATAAACTATAAAAAGAGAGTCCTATAAAGCCTTAAGAAGAGATAGACACTTGGGCCACTTTATCTTATCAGAAAAAATGATTAAATGTGAAATTTATACACACAAAAGGCCCATTCTCTCCATCTTGATAAGTATCTCTTACATTAGCTTATTTCAGTAGTTTCTGAGAACACTTGTCCCCATTGCAGACACTATGCACCAAGTAAAATAACATAGATCAAGGGCTGTAAGTCTGTAAACAAAATAATTTACAGCACCAATTTTCGAAGTCAGTCATGAAAAGGATCTATTAGAAAAGTATCTATTAGATAAGCATGCAAACTTTCATTCATTAAACTTCAGAAAAACTGAGAAAAACTTGTCCCCATTTCATGCAGTATGCACTAAGCTGAAAAGCATGGAGCTAGGGCTATAACCCTAACTGAAGTACGACACCAATTCTGGAACTCATTTGAGATCAAGTAACATCAGTGTGTAAATTTCATTTCTCTGACTTAAATAGTTTTTGAGAAATTTGTCCCCTTTGAGAAGTGGGCGGACAGATGGACAAACTCCGTCCCTTTATCCCACACTTCGTGGCAGGAGATAATAATGGCACATATCTATTCCCTGATTACCATGATGACAACCTACCCAGGCCAGCTGGTAGGAACATGACAAACACATGGAAGAAAGGGGACTCACAACATATTTCTTGCTGCCCACTTCCCCAGCAATGAGGTGCGTGACTGCATCCGTGAAGTCCTTGCTCACCTCGCCCGCCATGTACTCAACCTGCTTGTGGATCTGCTCCTGGAGAAAAACACACACTTATCATAGCTCATTGCTTCACTGAGATCATAAAGTGTACAGTAAGCATGTTAAGATATATATATCATGTTCATTAAATAATGTGACCATTGAAATAATGTGACTGTATTCTTCAGAATCGCAAACGTGATTCCTACAAATGTCAAGAAGAGTTAAACCATAAAAAGTAAACATAACCTGATGAAAGCCAGGAGACAAAGCTTGAGTTTCCATACATTTCTGTATTATATGAATTCCCCCACGGGAATGAACACAAAGAAGACATAAAATATAGGTAGAGAGGAGTGGGTGAACATTCCCCAGGCCACAATTCGGGATCTGATCATAGGACGACGATGCCAGTCGGTTTATGACTCTTATGATGGCCATACAAGGTATTGAGAACAGATGAATCACTGGATAAAACCTACCCTCACATCCTTTTCTATACTGGTACAGCTGACCAACACATCCTTCATCGCCATGTTGTAAATAGGGACACGTCTTCGGGGAATTTCCTGGGGACATTTGGAAATCGTTTAATATTATTTATTTTATAATTTCACATAAACTTACATCATAACATGGAAATGTTACCTAATTCCGATATATATTACCGGCATATATGACATTTTATACACAGAGGGATGAGAATGGGTATTTTCCTTTTCAGCTGAATGTGATGAAAAGATTGCCCACATGATGACAAACAGGAAATTGCAAACACTTTCTATGTCTATCTGTACACAAACACACATACCATTCTCAGCAGCATGCAGGACAGGATGCACTGAGGGCCATACACTCTGCAAAAGGTAGAAACAGCCACATTAAGTATGGTGAGAGGACAACTCAATACCATCAGGTGTGTCATTATGTGAAATTTCAGTATCCAAACACTGAAGTCTTGAACTGAAAAATATGTTGAAATCATGATATGTACTAAAATATTGCAATGCAATACCTCAGACAAACAGGAAACATCACTTCCAAGTACACAAAATCCATGTGTAGTTCACCTGAGTGAGTGAGTGAGTTGAGCTTAACACCGCTTTTAACAGTATTCTAGTTATATCACGGCGTGTCAGCTTAATGTGGGAGGAAAGCCCGAAGTGATGCAGGTCTCAGACGTTGACAACTTCAGTGAAACCCACGAGCACGGGTATGGTGATGACAAACTTAGAAACATAATTTGGACGATCCAGGATTCGAACCCACAATCATAGGTTTCTGGCGTGCCCAAGGGACGCAACTTTGCACAGCTCATTGCTGTGCCTTAGACAATTGGGCGACCTGTGCCCCCACCTGACTTATGAAGACCCAATCAACCCAATCTCATTCAAATCAGATCTTAATTCTCGCAACTGCTAAACAAAGATCTGACTAACAAGAAGTCGACAATAGCCAATCAGAAGGCAGCTTAATCAAGCTTTTACGGCACGAGTTTCAAACTGGCGACTACGCTTCGAAACATATCTTGACATATACTCGATTATAAAAAATCAAAAACTGAACAAAAGAACATTCTGGAATGGCTAATAGATGGTCTAGATTGTATGAATGACATAAAGCCCATAACTGTTGTTCGGAATACCCTTTGTGTGTTTTTTTTAGTTTGCATGATCAAAAATCACATTCCAACTGCCACTTTCATGATCTAATAAGCGATGCTCTGATTGGTCAGATGAAAGGTAGTTTTGACATGACCCGCAATGGGATGTCCTCAGATCTTTGTTTAGCGGTAGCGAGAATTAAGATCTGATTTTAATGAGATTGACTTCAACCTTATTTTGGTACAAATATCTATAGTGACTTAATGAAAAATTGGTGCAAAAGATTCTGGGAAAAACTATGTTGAGTGTATTCAGTGATGCCTTGAACAAAGCTGGATCTTCTTATGGTCAATACACAAATGATACATTCACACAAAGTTTACAATACAATTACAACATGTACAAGTTACAATAAAATCACATTGATTTAAACAAGATCAGATGTTTTCATACAAAGGAACCTGCATGCCAAATTTCAGCTTCATCAATCATGTCAATCAAGCAAGGATATAAGCATATTAATATTGCAAAGGCTTTTCAAATGCAAAAGTCAGTGTCAGGGTTACTGGCCGTCAGATGGTCAGGGACCTTTTTAAAGGGGAAGTGTACACGCAAAAATCACTTTCTTTCTTTTTCTAAACAAAACGCAATTTTAGAATTAATTAGTATCTGTGTTTGAAAATATACACTCATTTTTTTTCACAGTGAAAGTAGGAAGCTCACAATAGTGTTAAAATGATATGCCGTTATGAGGCCTTCGTTTGACGAGCGAAATAGGCCTGAGTTATCCCCCTTAGATTATGACGTAATTGGTGCCAATTCAACTGGGTCCCTGTCTATTCTCAACGCAAAAGATATCAAGGACCAGTTTGCGGTCAAACAACATGGTCTACGACACACTCTGGCGCAGTAGTGACTCAGCATAACACAATTCTGGCTGGCATCTGAGACGCTAGAATCACAAAACTGTACCTACACCACGTGAAGCGGCTCTAACAAAGCATGATGACGTCATAATGTTTATCAATTGGCACCAATGACGTCATATTGCAAGGGGCATAAGCCATGGTGTTTTTGTTATGGAAATAGAACACTTGGTAAATGTGAAAAATATAAATCGTTTTAATGCAAAAAATATGTTAATTAAATATGATGTTTTTATATTTTTGTCTATGACACTTCTATGTTAACACTTTTAATGTGGAAAAAGTACAAGAAAAATTGGTTCATTTCCGTGTGAACTTGCCCTTTAAGTACCCTTTTTTAAATGCTGTAGGTCCCTAGCTCCAGATGACCAAAACAATGTCTGTTTTGGCTTTGAGCAGCCAAGCGGTAACAAATACATTGTTTTCGGTAACAAGTCAAATTAGACAAAAAACCTGGAATGCCATCCACGGACAGTTGGGGCCTGCAAGAACCTGTTTTGTCATTATCTTCTATATGATAAGGTGTAGGATGGTGGAACATCCAACAGACAGCCTCTGATGATGAATCTTTTTGAAGTAAAGTTTGGTTTCCATTGCAACCATTTGTGAAAAACTACTTTTTGCCATTGCTTCCTGGATGCAGAAAATCTGATGAAACGTGGTAGGCTAGTGTGCGGTTGGGTCTACGAGATTTGCACCTGTTTGTATTTTGATATTTATTTATCTATGACACCAACTATTACGATGTAATGATTGAAAGTTTTCAGCTCCATAGGCCTTGAAGTTTCCGAGGGGTTACCGAAATGCAGTAACATGTATGTTACAATAAACATGTAAAATTAACATGTTATTTCTATTGATCCTGTACTTCAAGATAGTCGCTTTCTCTCGACACAATTCTAGTTAGCCACTTGTCTCAAGCCTGAGTCAAGGAAAATTTTGTTCGATCCAGTAGATTTATCTGATAGTGAATATGATAACACTAAAAGCTACTAAAAATAATGCTTACAGCCAAATTCAGGCTAATAGACTCAAAAGCTGTTGGCCCAGACTGCTAATATCCCAAGATATACATATAATCCAGAACTTCCCCCCATTGGAACTGTTACCATGGTTACACATAGTACATGACAAATCCTTGTCACCTGCATCCTATAGCAGCAAGATGATGGAAGGCCTCTCCTTCAAATGGGTCGATCAAGTAAACACTGCTCCTGTCTTTCTGTTCCAAGTCCAGGCATTCCGCCGGGGTAATCCACAGAGGCTGAAATCCATTCTCAATCAAAATCTGGAATTAACATGGACACATTTATCATGAGTACTTGATTAATAATTCACATACTCAAGTGAACATACACGGTTGTTCTGTTATAATGTATGTACCTATTTACCTGGAAACTTAACAGAGTGAACAGAGAATGAGTGCATGTTATTTTACACTGTAGTCAAGAACACTCAAGTTTTGGGAAAATTTGTGACAGCAACCTGCAAATAATTTTTTCTAGCCATTGCAAACCAGTGGCTGATAGTATGAAAAATGAGTATGGTTTTATGCCACTTTTAGCAATATTCCAGCAATATCACGGCGGGGGACACCTGAAATGGGCTTCACACATTGTACCCATGTTGGGAATCGAACACGGGTCTTCGGTGTGACGAGCGAACGCTTTAACCACTAGGCTACCCGACAGCCCACATGAACAATGAAACAACAGATCAAAAGTACAGTAATCTGCACAGAAATATCTGAAGGAAACAATGTGACAAGCCCATTGCAGTCCATAATAAGTAGTTTCACCACAAGGAAAATACTGATTGAGCAGAAAAAGATAATAACATTTCCCCTGGGAAGTCCAGTTCAACTCAAATACAATTTCAGTGTTCTAATACCTCACGAGCCTCTTTCAATTCATCAGTTGTCTCGCCACCAGCCTCTCCCACACACTTCACCTTCAAGTTATCCTCCGACATTATTGTGGCCCTGTTTCATCTGAGGGGAAGAAGAAAGAAAAACATCGTTACCATTATCTTTAAACATGTTAAGATAATCATTTAAACGAGTGAGTAATTTAAGTGTTGTTCCATATCTGCAAATATAAAAGCACAAAGTTGAATTTGGAGGCACATACGAAGCAATGATATCATATTTTGAATTTCCAAATAATCCAAACAAGCATGAATTAATTAATATTTTTACTGTTTGTTGTTTAAGGCCACACTCATCTGTATTCCAGTGGTCTGTAAATAATCAAGCCTGGACAAGACAATCCAGTGTTTGACATCATGAGCACCGATCCATGCAGTTTGGATATGACAATTGACATGCATTAACCAAGTTAGCACCAGTGTAGTGAGGATCAAACAGCCATATTGATAGTCATTTGCTGCATTATAACAAGAGGTGTGATGTCAAAGTTGCTGACTTGACAGTGCACTCATTCTGCCTGTCAAAATTGGCTTTATGTGAAGTACTGTACATCTGTCAGAGCATTCTGTCTTCATTCTGAATTTGGTGCTTGTGTCATGATATAAAAAGGGTGAGTAAATAGTGTGAACACCCACATGGAAACCCCACACAAGTACCAAACCAATTGGATGTTTGAAAACAGGTGACATCACTCAAGTGCAGTAGAAGTTTGTGAGTGGTGTTAGAGTAAATAGTATCAGCTTGCTCGAGTGATGACATATTTGACAACAACATCTCTAACCACATGTAGCCTGCAACCTCGGGGTATCGCGGTACTTGTCATGTACGCTAAACGGAACAAAATGCACTCACTAACCTTTATGTTTATTCGTGTTCTCTGTATCAGATATCATTCATGTTATCAAACAATGCATATTTTACTAATAAAAGTTCATTATTTACATTAGTAGCTCCGAGTAAAAGCCGGGCCTTGCGCTCTGTTTGACAAGGGAGAGAACTCCATCGTATCGCGGTACAGAGAAAAGTTGCGTATGGAGGTCCAAATTGGACAAAAAGAGGACATAATTCTACCAACCACTTGGTATGATCATGCCAGACATCAGTGATTTGTCCAGACAAGTGCAAAGACAGCACAAGTAAAATTCTAAATGTGTTATCAGCAATAGGTATTCAATGTATATTTACCGAAAAGTAAGAGAAAAATACTTTTATAAGTCAACATCAAAATATCAGAAATGATATTTTAAGATTGTTTAAAGTACATTGGATGACAATAATTTGTCACAAAATGGAAAAATGTTAAAAGTCAACAATAAATATATAAAAAGCACTCCTAGTATGCCCAAAGTATGTATTTATCTTTTGGTTACTAGTGAAGAACGTATTTCTAAGTTTGGCCTTATGGCCCTTATGATCTCCCAATAGATTCTGGGCACAGAGCGGAAAAAAAGTGCGGACTACGTAACTTCCGTTACCTCATTAGTCGCCATGAATATGCAGATGATCTAGTTCAGGTCGATAGAGAAAGTTTACTTGGGGAACTGCGGGTTATATCGTTGGCCATTGATAGATGGGGGTAAGGCAATATTACAACAGATGCCAGAAATATGTATCAACGGATTAATAACTTCTTACTTACAGCAGACGGAACATTCCGAGGAAATTGAAATTGTTTACGAAGTGAGCACTTCCTGGTTACTGATTTGCATTAATAGACAGCCGCTAAGAGGCGTGTCCCGCATGAACTATGGGAAATCACAAATGCCGCGATACGATGAATGCCGCAGTACCATGGGGTCCGAGTATACCACCGTCATGATAGATGAATAAACCTGTGATCTTGATCCGAAATCATTGTGGTAAAAGATCATTACAGAGAACGACATGGAGAAACACAAAAAGGTTTACAAATGAGGTAATGGAGATCACACCAGTTATAAAAAAATACAGCTGAATTCTTTCATGTCAATTATGTATGGTACCTGAGACACATTCCTGTAGTTCCAATAACAGCCCCATGAGCAACACTTGGGTACATTAGTTATGTTGACATGGTAGACAGGTTGTCATGGTTACTGACCCTTACAATATCATCATGAAAAGTGACATCCTCCCTCCAGTCACAATAATTCTAGCCATGTGTTGATATTGTAGACAGACAGAAGCAGGTGTTCTATGACAGATTGAGACTGTTGAATGACAGAAATATTGACACAGGCACACCAGTGATGACTGCATCGATAGCCTTAGGCTATGTCATGTATATAGTACGAGGAATTGAATTTCATGTCACTGAATAACTCCAACAAACACACATATTTGAGGAGATAGTCAGGAAATACGTAGTTTCGAAGTTGTTATTGTTTTGATTGCAAATTCGCGAAATCAGGATTCAGGCGATTGCGAAACGTGTTTGTTTTCACAATTAACTCCACAATCGCATCGTCCGCTGTGGTACCACAAAGAAACTAGTCACAAAAACATCGCTACAAGTTAGTTGTAAATATGAATCAAGCATACCAAACCGAGATATCGTGTTTAAATTCCACTTCCACGACCGCCAAAGTTTTGAATCGCCATATTTGTTTGAGAATAAAAAAGTAACCGATTAAAACAAACGAATTCAGATTCATATGAAAAGATGGCAACAACTTGGTTAAAAGTCGTTTCAAAATATGCATGTTTCTATATAGCACAAATATCATACGATTTTTCATTATGTGACTGATTAATTAATTATCAAAACATTATCTCATTGATAGGGACACCACCATTACATCGAACTAAAACGAAATAAGATTGCAATGAAAATATCTAAATGTTGCAGAGTAAAACACACACTGATGTTTTGGACTTCCGAAAATGTTCAAAAACACCAAGATAACGCCGATTATCTTTTGGATCAGGAGTCGACAGGGAATGAGTAAATATAGAAAGTAAAATGCAGTCACCTAGATTTTCTGTAATCAATACTTTACTTTTGACGAGTGGTAATAATTTCTTTGAGTGTTAATAATGTTCACCTGATACGTTTCCCTCCGCCCTGTTGACACCAACAAGAAACCAAAGAAACTGACAAGCCGAAATGAGTAAAATGTAATCTTTCTCTGTGAAAATGGAAAATCCATTAATATAAATTATAAATACTCAGAACGGCAAGGCTAGGGGAGCTCTATGTGTCTATGTAGTGACGGCAAAGTCTTGTGAGGTGAGGTGAAATTGGGTTTAACGTCGCGTCCAAGATTATTGCACTTATATAGCGACGTGCATGCACGTGTGTCTGTGTGTGGCTGCTTGTACTAGACCGGACTGATGCCGATTTATAGTGCTAACTCACTGAGATACCATGCCGCAGTTTAACATGAATACCCCACTCAGACACAGTATACTGACTCCGAGCCGACCAGTCCTTGCTTTAACCCCTTAATGCCGAGCGCCAGGCAGGGTAACAACAAGTACCATCTTTTAACGTCTTTTGGTATGACGCGGTCGGGGATCGAACCCCGGACCTTCCGCTCTCCGGGCGGACGCTCTACCACAAGACCACGGAGGCGGGCTCAAAGTCTTGTGAGAGTCAAGGAATTGATTGATAGCATGTTCTAGGATGGAGTTAGTTTGGTTATTTTATCCCAAGAATAATTCAAGTCTTTGAAAGGCATTTAGAAGTGAAGGAAGAGAATTTATGGATGTCAACTTCTTTATTATGCGGAACACAACGTTTCGGAGTATATGCGTACTCCTTCATCAGGTGAATGATATTGGACAAACATATAGATTGACAGAAGCATGTCAAGTTATGAGTTTGGGCAGAGGCCACAAAATACGGTCTCTGGTTTGGGACAGACAAGGTGAACATCGCTGAAATCGGAGAATACGGTATGGGTTTTACAACCGATCAAGCCTGGAGCTTTTTGCAAACGGAGTGTTTGGGGGTGGGGTGCACACAACGGTTTGGATTTAATATTGAGAAAATGAATGGATATAATTCCGAAAACTGTTTGCGACTGTTCAGCAAACAACTAGTCAATTAATTATCAATTCTCCAATGACAGAAATAGTTTGTAGTGAATTTCACTGTCCACTTAACACTTTTACTGATCAGTTAGTAGTTTTTTACTAAGGGGCTTGTCGTAATTATAATTATTATAACTAAAAAATGTTAAGTAGTAATCAGATAAACGTTCACTGTCAGCTTCCTGTATGAGAGAAATACTACTAGGCATACAGCAACAACACATTGGTGAACGCAAAGTTTTTCAAACCTCGGTTGGATTCGAACCTACAACCGCTTCGTTGATGGTCAATCACTGGATTGTCTGGTCCAGACTCGATTGTCTTCAGACCGCCGTCGTATAGCTGCAATATTGCTGAGTGCGGCGTTAAACAACAAACAATCATTTATACTCCCTCACGTGCGCTGCGGAGACTGTTGTCGCCACAAGTGTCAATTTACCTTGTCTCCATTAGCTTGATTTACTTGTAAACAAAATGATGTTATTGTTGTGCCAAGTCCATTGTAGGTCCTGGTGGTATATGTGTTATGCACGAGTCTGTGAATCTGATTTGCACATCTAATTTCAATATATATAATACATCTCATCCATATTTGACTATAGCCTGATGAAGGGCACGGGTGACCCAGTCGTCTAAGGCGCCGCGATTCGCTGTTCAGTGTTGCGTCCCTTGGGCACGCCAGAAACCAATGATTGTGGGTTCGAATCCCGGTTCGCCCCGATTATGTTTCTAGGTTTGTCAGCACCATACCCGTGCTCGTGGGTTTCACTGAAGTGGTAAACGTCTGAGACCTGCACCACTTCGGGCTTTCCTAACACATTAAGCTGACACGCCGTGATATAACTGGAAAACTGTTAAAAGCGGCGTTAAACCAAACTCACTCACTCACTCACTATAGCCTGATGATAGGCACGTTATTAAACAATTTAAACTCTAAACATGTTGGCACTACGAAGCACACACACACACACACACACACACACGCGGACATGCACGTCGCTATAGTGCAATAATCTGAACCCCACCAAATGCGATGGCTTTCTCTCAATCGCCGTTACCCCTGGTGTTGCATAACTTCTTTTGAGCACCACATTATCCCTTCAACATCTTTTTCAGAGATAGTTGTTGAACAAAACAAAACTGAAATCTGACTGGGTACATAATATTCATCTGAAATATTAGTTTTTATCAGATATTTTCTGACTGTATTGTCAGCAAGATTTGGTCCCTGTGGAATTCACATACACATGATGAACCTGTGAAGATCCGGGGTAGAATAGATCTTCAGCAACCCATGCTTGCCGTAAATGGCGACTATGCCTGTCGTAAGAGGCGACTAACGGGATCGGGTGGTCAGGCTCGCTGACTTGGATTATGCTTGTCATCGTATCCCAGTTGCGTGGATCTATGTTCATGATGTCAGTCACTGGATTTTCTGGTCCAGACTCTATTATTTACAGACTGCAATATCGCCGAGTGCGGCGTTATACAACAAACAAACATACACATGATGACATGTCTTTTCGTATACACCCAGTGTCAATGTGTAGGTGAAGGTGTGTTACAGACCACATGATGAAATAAGACTAATGAGAAAAAACACGAATGGAACACGTTTCAGTAGTCAGTTGATGTTTCATTTGACAGGCGGATGCGGCTGTCAATATTTTAATGTTGAAATATATTTGTTGGTCTTTATTGCAAAGAGTGAGAGATAAACAAAATATTAATCCCTAATCTTAAGAGTATGCATGGTCTTGTCACTCGATGTGAAATCCCAGTCTAATTTACTTGCTCTAGCTGACCGCCTCCGTGGTCTGGTGGTAAAGCGTCCGCCCGGAGAGCGGAAGGTCCGGGGTTCGATTCCCGGCCGCGTCATACCAAAAGACGTTAAAAGATGGTACTTGTTGTTAACCTGTCTGGCGCTCGGCATTAAGGGGCTAAAACAAGGACTGGTCGGCTCGGGGTCAGTATACTGTGTCTGAGTGAGGTGTTCATGTTTAACTGCGGCATGGTATCTCAGTGTGCTAGCACTACAAATCGGCATCAGTCCGGACTAGTACAAGCAGCCACACACACACACACACGTGCATGAACGTCTATTTATAAGTGCAATAATCTTGGACGCGACGTTAAACCCAATTTCACCTCACATCACTAGATGAATGCGATAGTGCCGAAGCGACGTTAAATTGTAACTCACTCACTTACGTCACTTGCTCCAGCTGTGTACACTGATATGACTATAGTGTTCATAAATTGGATGCCAAAACACATTAAGTGGCATATAGAGGGGCATCTTCCCGAGGACGAGTTAACTGACTTTTAAAGTCCAGTTTCCATCCTTGCCGAACTAGACTGGAATTCCTGGGCTCGATCGTAGCGCCACCAGTAGCTTTTACGAGTTATGTCCTTTCTATGCCTCTCCTATTGACCAATCAGATTCAACCTCTCGTATCACTTGCACTTGCTTCAAACAAAACGGTGGCGCCCAGTCAAGACGATCTGATTGATAATCAAGATCTATATTGTGATAAAACGAGCCTTACATCGCGAAGTTCATCAAATCACGTGAGCACCTTGATTAAAAGCATGAAAGGATTTAGAAAATATATGTTGACAACTAGTTAGCGGTGCACATGTTTTGCAAATCCTGCAGTCGACCGAAATCTGCATGACCCTTTACGAACCGGATTTCGATTTCGGTGCGCGATTTTGATTGGACTATGCATAGACTCGTTAGTCCAGCCAAAATGTAACTCCATAATACCAGCCTCGTTCGGCAAGGGTGGAAACTGGACTTTTATAGTCAGTTAACTCACTTGCCTCGGGAAGATGATAGAGGGGTGGGGTTGGCCCCAACTGCCTATTCCGTTTTCAACGACGATTCATGATGAGAGGAATTCATCGAACATACATATACATGTATGTGTTGAAACCTTCTAGAGTGACCGAGTTGGTTTTTTCGTCACTTTTACCAGCAATATCACAGCGGTGTTATCAAGAAATGTGCTTATGGATATTGTGGGGAAAGTGTTTTGAGACCATGTGCGATCACGAGAATCATGCGCTGTTTTCGTGCGAAATTAAAAGGCGCCTTTCGTGTCTACTTCCATACAGGGTTCAAACAAGTCAAGTATATATTTTCTGGATATTGGTATATTTTCGCAAATTATTTCGATATATTTAATAATGTTTAAGTTTTACACTGAATAAAGGCTCCTCCTTGGTATACTGGGACGTCAATCCCCGAGTAGCAGATTGGGGTCTCTGGTGGGTGTGGGTATATGGGGAGGGTAGATGATGGGGTAAGACAAATATGATCTTTACCTAGACTCATGACTTACTCCAGTGCAATTCACAAAAACTGCCCCCATCTAAAAGGATCTTTTTTTAAATATTGTTTGTTATTTAACGCCACGCTCAGCAATATTCCAACTATATGATGGCGGTCTGTAAGTAATCGAATCCGGACCAGATAATCCAGTGATTGACATCATGAGCATCGATCCACGAAATTGGGATACGATGACATGCATCAACCAATTTTTAAGTCAGCGAGCCTGACCAC